TGACAGTGGATACAACCTTAGTCTATGACTATTTTGTGTAGGTTATAACAGGGGCTACAACCTTAGTCTGGGACTACATTGTGTAGGTTATAACAGTGGATACAACCTTAGTCTGGGACTATATTGTGTAGGTTATAACAGTGGATACAACCTTAGTCTGGGACTATATTGTGTAGGTTATAACAGTGGATACAACCTTAGTCTGGGACTATATTGTGTAGGTTATAACAGTGGACACAACCATAGTCTGGGACTACATTGTGTAGGTTATAACAGTGGATACAACCTTAGTTTGGGACTATATTGTGTAGGTTATAACAGTGGACACAACCTTAGTCTGGGACTGTTTTGTGTAGGTTATAACAGTGGCTACAACCTTAGTCTGGGACTACATTGTGTAGGTTATTACAGTGGGCACAACCTTAGTCTGGGACTATATTGTGTTGGTTACAACAGTGGATACAACCTTAGTCTGGGACTACATTGTGTAGGTTATAACAGTGGATACAACCTTAGTCTGGGACTATATTGTGTAGGTTATAACACTGGATACAACCTTAGTCTGGTACTATATTGTGTAGGTTATAACAGTGGACACAACCATAGTCTGGGACTACATTGTGTAGGTTATAACAGTGGATACAACCTTAGTTTGGGACTATATTGTGTAGGTTATAACAGTGGACACAACCTTAGTCTGGGACTGTATTGTGTAGGTTATAACAGTGGCTACAACCTTAGTCTGGGACTACATTGTGTAGGTTATTACAGTGGGCACAACCTTAGTCTGGGACTATATTGTGTTGGTTACAACAGTGGATACAACCTTAGTCTGGGACTACATTGTGTAGGTTATAACAGTGGATACAACCTTAGTCTGGGACTATATTGTGTAGGTTACAACAGTGGACACAACCATAGTCTGGGACTACATTGTGTAGGTTATAACAGTGGATACAACCTTAGTTTGGGACTATATTGTGTAGGTTATAACAGTGGACACAACCTTAGTCTGGGACTGTATTGTGTAGGTTATAACAGTGGCTACAACCTTAGTCTGGGACTACATTGTGTAGGTTATTACAGTGGGCACAACCTTAGTCTGGGACTATATTGTGTTGGTTACAACAGTGGATACAACCTTAGTCTGGGACTACATTGTGTAGGTTATAACAGTGGATACAACCTTAGTTTGGGACTATATTTGTAGGTTATGACATATGTATGACTCATGTATTACTGATTGTGTGCATGAAAACTGACAAGACAATCACAATGAAGGACTGTATTGTGTACATTGTTGCTTTGAATACAATCTTAATTCTTGACAGTGGATGAACCAACTTTGAAGTAGGGCTGTCAAGGTTATTAGAATGGATATCATTGACTAGTTTGTTTGCTGTCTTATTCACCAGTTGTCTTCATGTGGTTAGGATATTGCTTTGTACAGTGTTTTGAAAAGAAACCCTCAAACACTATACATTCTTTTGATTTGCCTAAATCTGCTGAAGTATTTGCAACCTATATGCATATGACCCTAATATTGTCTTCATGAATTCAATCTTGTTTCACTGATATAACACCTTTCCAACTACAAAAAAGGAGGCATGTTCATTCGAATCTCATGTAACTGGCATGTAGAACAAATCTGTGCCAGAAAATTTACACTTAATCTTGTCCTTTAACACATGGTTATGTTGGCAATCACTCTTATGATTGAGGGATTGTTTCAGTGAAATTCAGCTTTTGAGATATTACCCGTACTCAAAGAAAACGTCAGCAGCAGCCACTCAGCCTGGCCAAGCAAGTATTTGCAGAGACAGAGGTAACATGAACACATCTGCATCCCACAAACACTTACATACTGGAGGAAGTCTGTCCAGCTATCAGCAGTCCCCACTATTACAACAACATCTCAACATTCATACATGTTGCAGTATCTCCCATACAAACTGATCAGAGCAATTTCTTGATGCACTGAATTATTCAGCCAGTGGCTTGTCGTCTGCTGGCATGGCAGAATGCAATATGGCCGAGGAGCCCAGCTATCTGACCTCATTACTGTGGGAGCTCATTGCTTGCTGGCTCACAGCTATGGCTTGCAGGCAGACTGGCTGCTCTCTCAAACAAAGCAATCGTTAGTGTGAGTGCACCAGCTGAGACTTGGCTGTCTTTATGCCCATAATGTTGAGTGGGCATTGTGGACTGGATATTGGGATTTGTATATAGGTACCCATTAGAAATTCCACAACATCCAATCACAGATGGGATGAGATATTTATATGACGTATCCACGTATCATGTTTTCATATCACAGAAAGACAGTTGATTAGTTTCTGATCAGTCCTGTAGTATTTTGTTACTGATAAGGACAAGTAGAGTGAAATAGACTGTGATATCATCAAACAAAATCATTAAACTGTGCAGTTTCGATTCAAAATTTTCATTCTTTAAATTTTTAATCATGTATTTGATTTACAACTTTGACAGCTGTAATGATAATATAACATAAAGTCAAAATGAACGTAGCCATTATTTGGTGATGTTTGAAGTGTGGTAGTAATTTTTCATAAGTTTGCATAAAAAGCAAAAATCACAATCTGGTTGGAGATAAATGCACTTGAACCTAACTGTTTGCTGGATTCTTTCTCCAACATGGCATGTTTATTTGGAAGTGCCAGAAAACCATACCTGCACCTGTTCTGTTTCTTTCTTATTAGCCAGGAGGTTGTTTGGTCTGGCATTGGTTCTCTCAAGCAGTCCTTTCTCAGCCTGTGTGCTGGACTGCAAAATATCAACGGGTCTCTATCTATTTTCTTTGTGGTCTTCTGTCTAAATATTCTAGTGACTTGTGAGTGGAATAACTAAGTCCAACCAGTAACAACAGAACCACAGCAAACATTTTATTTTGTCGTTGCGTAATTTAGGATAGAGAATTACCACATATCACTTGAAGGAAGTTAAGTTCTGCTGAATTTTGTTATAATCTTGTGTACGCATTATGGGGCTTATTCTCAAGGATTGCACTGTATGGTCAAAACTTAATTAAAGGCACTATGTCACGCTTTTTCAATAATATTTTGGTCTATGATACATATATTGGGGCATATGTACTCACTTTAGCTTATTATTGATACAATAAAAGACTTATTATCCCTTACAACTTGACTGAAATCTATAATTGAAACTTGGAGGCGAGCTGCTTCCAAACAGATAAGACTTGCCATTTATGGAATGTGAACGATTGCGCCATACATCGAAATCTGTCGGATGCGGTGTTGGCTGTGTTTGCCGAACTGGCCACAATCACAAGTTGCATTATAGGTATTCGAGCATTCCAAGGGACATAACTCTATGGGGTTCGCTTGAAATAAGGTTAGGTCGGTAGAGGGCGTGAGAGTTGATTTAATCCAACGTTGCATTAATACTTTCGAACTTTTTAATCTCATATTGTAATGTAAATACATAATTTTTTTGGGAATAAATATATGTTAGCTTCGCTGTTGGCTGATAGTTGGCATTAATGAGAGAAATGCAATATTGATTTTTTAGAAAAGTGTGAGTAGTGTGCCTTTAAGTATAGGCTGCCCCCAATTTTGGATGCAAGGTTACAGAATGTGGTGTTGAACAGTAAACAGACCTAAAGTGTTTCGTTGCAATAGTATTTAACTTTCATCTTGCAGATACTGATGAATATTAATGTAGATATGCTAGACTATAGTAATCTGGTGTAAGATGTGACTGTATTGTTGGACAAATTTGATGGAAGAATCAAACAGTGACTGGAACATGGACTGATGACTGATTGTTTTAGCGCCAACCAACATGGTCAAACTGGGACAGATGTGGACAGAGCGCCTCTATGGAGTTTTGTGAAAGTAGTTTGGGGATTGACGTAATTTGCATAGTTATCAGATTTGGATACCAAGTTTATCAGATTTCTTTATTGCACCGATAACACCCTCCATTAGATGATAATTAGTTGTAACCCAACTATTTTGGAAGCCTGATGGAAAAGGCTGTAATAGGGGTCTTTTAGACTCTGGTTTACTTGTTATTCGTTTGACCTTGAAAGAAACAATTGTGAGGCAACCTTGTCTATAGACTTGACCATTCTGTTGCTTCTCTTCATTGGGATTTTATTTTGTACCATGTTTTCATCTTACTGATGGCTCTGAATCACAGAATTAACCTGGTCACTGAGAAACTAATGTGGTATTTCTTTGTTTGGTCACATGGTCAATGTAGTCTCACTCCAGTGAGATATTACAGTAGACATTGTGAATGGTGAATGAATGCTTTGAATGGTAAATGTTTGCAGCAGGTAACTACATTTTGAGGCTTGTTTTTTGTAGAAGAATGCTTATGAAGCTTGAGAAATATTCCTTCACAAACTGTAGATTACCACTTGATGCACTTAATTTTTTCTGTTAACAAGTATTAAACATATAATAGTATGGTTATTGATGTCATGGATGCTGATGAAGCTGAATTTTTATTGGTATTGGTAAATTGTAATTTGAAAAGAAGAAAAAAATGATGTTTGAATCTCATTTTGGATGTCCTCTCATTGTAACTGCAGCATAAATCCATGCTAACTCACTCTCATGAGGCTTGTATGTTATTGAGACAGGATCTGGCCCCGATTTCTCGAAACTAACTTAAGTTTTTACTCAAATTTTAAATTGAGTTTGACAATTTGAAACAGCTGAATTTTAAACTCAACTGCATTTTGTAAATAAAAGAGCCCAAACAACTTAAGTAATCTATCCATCAGACTCAAACTGTCTACTATGTTTGAATTTACTATCGATTTTAGTTCATTCTGGGAAATGCATTTTCTCAAATTTGAGTAAAAACTCTAACTTAAGTCAAAACTCAGACTTAAGTTTGTTTTGAGAAATCGGCGCCTGATGTCTCCTTTGAATAAAACATTCCTATGGTATTCATTGGTATGATTGTGAAGTTGACATGTGAGTGTTGTTTTCCTTGTGTTCCAGTGACCCATTTGAGGAGGACGCTGAACCAGCTGGGAGCCCCACCAAGCTGCTGAGCATCTCACTACCTCGAATCCAGCCTCCCTCAGCACCAGGAGAATCTGCTGAACACAAAAGTCATCTACCTCCAACCCGGCAGCAGACGACAGCAGATGTATATCATGCTCCTCAACCGCTAGGACAAACGTCAGAAGAATGCCATAGTAGTAACATGCTTCTTGATCTACCACTGCCAAGCACACTGAACATTAACCTGGATGATGTACCTCTTCCACCAATGCCACCAGCAGAACCTTCCCTGCCACAAAGCAAAAGTCGGGGAAAGAAGCGGAAAAAGAAAAAGCATGGTTTTTCAGATGAAGAGCCTCCACCACCCCCTCCACCTCCTGTGTCACCCCGTAGAACCCGCCAGCGATCCTCCTCCCGCACATCAGAGCCATCGGGCGAGTCTGAAGGAACTCCTCCCCCACCGCCTCCACCTTCTCGAGTGGAATCAGTCCATCTTCCAAGTGTTGATTCCAAACCTGAACCTGAGCTGTCTCTTGCACAGAAATTGCTAAACAAGGTTAGGGGCCAGAGTTCTGGCACAACAGATGCGAGTAAAAGTGCTGCTCCTGGAGCAAAGCTGCTGAACTTTGCTTTAGCTTCACCACCTGTAGGAAAAGGTAAAATTTCTTTCCAAATCAAACCAACAAAGAAATCTGTTTTTTCCTCAGATGATGGAGATGAAGATGATGAAGAAAGTGGTGAAAGTACTGTGACACCTGTTAGATTCAAAGTCAATAAGAAACAGATGTTCCGACCAGATGCAGAGGGGCCATCTGAAGCACAGAAGATAGCTGTTCAAGCATATGTGAAAGGTAAAGGAGGAATTAAGTTCTGTACAGAAGATGACGTTGCTAATATAATAAGATGTGGTTTTATGTCTGCTGAGGAAATACAGAAACTGAAGTTAGAGCAGGAGATGCTAGAGATTGCCCAAAAGTTAGAAAAACCTTCAGAGGCACCAAAGGCCACTGAACCTGAAATTAGAAGATCGAGACGTTTAAGAGATAGATCTCCATCCGAAGAAAGAAGTAGAGAAAAGGAAAAAGAAAAAGATGGTAGGTCAAGGAGACCAAGAACTGATAGGTCATCTTCAAGGGAAAAAGATCGAGACAGAAGTAGAAGGCGATCGCAAAGTGAGAAGTCCCCAGTCCGTGAAAAGCATTCTCACAATGAGAAGTCCCCAGTCCGTGAAAAGCATTCTCATAATGAGAAGTCCCCAGTCCGTGAAAAGCATTCTCGTAGTGACAGATCAACTTCAAGTGATTGGGATACGGAAAGATCCACCAGAAGAAGAAGCAGTCGTTTATCATCACAGGAAGATGATGTGAAATCTTTAAGAAGCGTTTCCCCTGAAGAAAAACGAGGTAGGAAAGAGAGGTCTCCTGCTCATGAACAAGAAAAAAAGAAATCAGAATCAGCCACATATGTGAAAACTTTAAAGGGAGCTGAGGTTAAACTAAATTTAGTGAGATTAGAAGATATGGATGAAAGTGTTATTTCTCCTGTTAAGAGAGGAAGTGAAATTAAGATATCAAAGCAAGAAGAAGTGGAGACAAGGCAGCAAAACCAGACAATATTACCAATAGCAGATGACCCACAGTTTCAGAAACAAAGAAAGTCAATAACTTACAGATCCCCGTCGTCAGAGATGGATGATGCAGTTGCAGATGGTGGTGTTCATCCAATTGTGGGTATGTCACCATCTGAAGCTGTACTGATTGACTCCACACATCAGACCGGCAATACAGTGGTTAAAGCTACAACAGAGATGGCAGCAGATTTAACAAAGGACAAATTGAAGCTAGAATGTGATGTTGAGGAGGAGAGAGATGTAAGGAAAAGACGTCATCACAGAGATTCTACAAAATCTCCTGAAATTAAGCCACTTCCTAAAAGGTCAAAGTGGGAAGATTCTCCAGAAAGGCTTCCCAAGGAATATGGTAAACATTCTAGGTTAAGGAGGACAAGTCAGTCACAGGAGGATGAGAAGAAAGAAATGTCTACTGAAATGGAAAGTGAACCAAGCAGAAGACGTTCCAGGAGAGGAAGGTCTAGGTCTGGAGATAAAGGGACAGCTACTGAATCTAGCAGGAGAGAGGTATCGGTGGAGAAATCAAAGGATACACATGAAGGGAAAACAAGGTCGCGAAAGGACAGCTCTGACTCAAAGGAAAATGACCGGTCAAAACCGCGACGTAATACCATTTCACCTGAAAAGTTGAAGGAGAGGCAAACAAGATCTCAGAAAGACAGGTCATTGTCTCAGGATAAGGATGAAGAAAATAAGTCTCACTCTGAAGGGAAGGATATTAAGAGAAGACATTCAGGAAGAGACCGATCTTCGTCTCACGAGAAAGAAGAGATCACACACAAAACTGCACAAACAAAGAGTCATATTTCACCTGACATTAAAGTTATTTCCAAAAGTACTGAGGATAAGGACAAATTAAAATCTAAGGAAAAAGATGTTTCTGAAATAACCAAAATGAAGTCATTGCATGATAATTTGCCATCAGCTGTCGTCATTGAAAATAACCATAATAAACTCAATGAAGAGTACCAAGAGGCAATTGTCTTTCCAAGTCGGTCAAGGTGGGATTCACCTGAACGGATTGATGAAACGCTCAGGAGCAAAGGTACTGTTGATATTGAGGGTTTTGTTCGATCCAAATGGGATTCCCCAGAGAAAACTGATTTTGATAGGACGAGAGATGTGGACAATTCAATGATTGTGTCTGCAATCAAAGAGAGTGCAGGTCGGTTTGGTGAAACCATATCTGACAGTTTGGATGTTGTTAACAAGGAAATCAAAACGCCAGTAGAAATAAACTGGCAGATGACTCAGGATGATTATGATTCCAGACCCAGCCGCTCCAAGTGGGATTCCTCTCCATCTGATGATGAAGTTTTGACCATTCCAGAAAGATCTATGTGGGGAACTCTGCCTAATGAAGAGCGAGGGGATGATAGGCTGTTTGTTAGTAATCCGTATTCCGTTCAACAACATGAAACCAAATCACACTCAAGGTTTAGCAGATCACCATCTCAGGAGAAATGTTTGTTATCGCATAAAAGCAAACAAAGGCAATCACAAAGTCAGGAAAAACTTCATAGAAAGGCTGTTTCTCCCTCAAGCATGAAAGTTGAGAAAAAGTTTACAGACACAATTGTAACGGAATCACCTGATTCAGCAGCATCAGTTCCCATCAAAGAGTTTCCAATAGTTGGCTATGAGTCATCTCCAGATACTTCTCAAGTTAGTGATCAGCTCCCTGACATCTCTGAGCCTTCAAAATCTCTTTCTGAAAAAGAGGTCTGTAAAGTCAGTGCTGCAGCATCAGATGCTGTAATTCAAGTGACCAAATGTGAAGAGGGTGAGAAAAAGAAGGAGGCCTCGGAAGACAGCAATCTTGACAAATGTTCAAAGCAAGATGATGAACGACCAAGGGCAAGAGAGGGCAGTTCTGAGTTGACAAAACGAGATGGCAGTTATGAAAAACAAGCTTCCAAACGGAGGGATGGCAGTGATGATTCCAGGAGGAGTGCAGATAGGAGTGGATCCAGAAAGGATGATAGTTCAGAAAAAAGAAAGTCCCGTTGGCAAGATGATGGTAATGAGCAGTCAAAGCACCGGAGACCTGGGGACAGTAATGATAGATCACGGAAAAGAGGTGACAGTTGTGAAAGTCAGCATTCAAGGCGAAGGGATGACAGTTCAGAAAGGAGTAGGTCACGGAGGAGACGAGATGAAAGTTCTGAACGAGGCAAGTCGAGGAGAAGAGATGAAAGCCATGACAAAGATAGACCCTCCAGGAGAAGGGATGACAGCTCTGAGAGAGACCGGTTGCGTCGAAGAGAAGAGAGTTCAGAACGAAGTAGAAGCAGGAGGGATAACAGTTCAGAGAGAGATCATCGCTCAAGACGTCGTGATGACAGTGCTGATAGATCACGCAGACGTGATGACAGTGCTGATAGGTCACGCAGACGTGATGACAGTGCAGAAAGGTCACGACGACGTGATGACAGTGCTGATAGGTCACGACGACGTGATGACAGTGCAGAAAGGTCACGGCGACGTGATGACAGTGCTGATAGGTCCCGGCGACGTGATGACAGTGCTGATAGGTCACGACGACGTGATGACAGTGCAGATAAGTCACGACGACATGATGACAGTGCTGATAGGTCACGACGACGTGATGACAGTTGTGACAGAGACCGTAGAAGGCGAGGAAGTAGTAGTGATAGAAACAGAAGGAGGGAATCTGATAGACGGAGAGACTCCAGTAGAGATCGATACTCTAGAAGACGAGATGATTCTTTAGAGAGGGAGAGGTATAGGAGAAGGGAGGATTCAGCTGATAGAGAGAGATCAAGAAGGAGAAGAGACTCACCAGACAGATCTCGGAGGGACAGAGATAAGAGAGAAACTGACTCAATGGGGAGAATGTATCGATCAAGAAAATATTCTCCTGAAAAGCCGAAAGAGACTTCTGATCTTAAAACATCAGTAGAGAAGAAGGAGATTCCAAAGCCAGCAACAGCTACTGAACATGTGATTGATCTTAATGATATTCCACTACCTGATATTCCTCTTCCTAATGTTCCTGGTTCTATAGTGGTGGCAACACAGGACACTGTGGAGATGCCTGTTGTTAGTGCTACTGATAGCAAGATGGAACCTGCAAATTTGAAGCAGGATAACTACTCCAGTGATGACATGGACTTGTGTGATGAGGAAGAAGAAAATTCAATAGAAACACCAGTTGTTATCCAAAATGTACTTGTAGATGATAAAGGTGGTAAGGTTTCATCAAGTGCATGTCTTCCAAAGGTTCAGTCACTGGGAGCAGAAGATACGAAAGGTTTTCCTAAATCTGAGTGTTCAAATCCAGTTAAAACTGAGCAAACAAAAACGGAAAAGATAAAATTTTCCCTGAGTTTTGGAAAACCCAAAGTCCTTCCAACAAAGAAGATTGAAAGTGTTCTTGATGATGAAGAAGACACTCAGCGCAAGAGACAAAAGGAAGAGTTTGTCAGTGCAATGTCAGAAAGTGTACAGACTGAATCTTTCTTTCCTAAGTTTTCTTCTCTCAAGTTAAACCTGAACCTTCCTACAAAGAAAGAACCCACAATACCCTTGGACAGCAAAGATGTTAAAGATTCTCCAAAGCTGAAAGATACAAACTCAAGAGTTCCAGATGAGGTATTGAACAGATCAAGATCTTGTGAAGAAGAATCTCCTGTTGATTCGAATGAAAAAGCTTTAATAAGTAAACCTGTGAATGCAGAGAGTCATATTTTGGAGAAGAAATCGAACATAGAAGTGGCTGATGACAATAAATCCCCAAATGTATTTGAAAAAGTTGACAATGTTTCCACAGTTATGTTTCCTGGTGTCAAAAGCACTTCACAAGCAGCTCTTGATATCTCAGTGATGTCTACATCATTCAAAGTTGTGCCAAATCAGTCTGAATCTCAAGAACTGAATCGTGCAGCAGACAATGTGCCAAATATCCCAACATCCTCTCTTGATAAAGGAGTATCTCATCTTCTTGTTGACCACTCAGGGCAAACCCAGCAATACCAACCTGCCTCAGCCCCACAGGTTCATGAACAGCAGCCTGAAGACTCTGTTAAGTATTCCCCTATCCCGGAACCGTCTGTCAAAGACTTCATGCCTGTTCCAGGACTAAAAGTAGACCTGTCACCCACAGAGAAAGTCCCTTCAGTGTCGTTTGAAATACAGGATGTTGTAAGAGATGAACCCAAAGTTTCAAAGAATGAAGACATGCCTGGTGGTGGTGAAGATACCAACAAGTCAGCTATGATTATGCCTTCAGGATATAAAGATAATTGCCCTCCACTACAAAGTGATGCATCTGAATTAGTTATTGAAGACACACAGGCAGATATGACAGAAACGGTTCTCAGTTTAAGTAAAGAGGAGAGAAAAGGCAATGATACAGACATAACTGATACCAGCCTGAAACTGGACAGTGAAGCTAATTCAGAGGATGTTTGTCAGTCTGATAATATGCCAGAATCTATTGATATGAAAACAGCTTATTGTGATAGTAGTTCAAATACAGACTCTACAGAAGATTCACATATGCCTGCTGTCCCCAAGATGCATGAATCAGAGGAAGCTACTTCAAATGAAGACACATTAACTCCTGTTCATAGGGAAGATATTGTGCCTCAACAGGGTCACACAGAAGATCGGGGTGTCAAGTGTTCCTTGACTGAGAATGTTCAACTGGGCAATGAATCCGGAAAGGTTGAGTCAGAAACATCTACAGAAACACATGAAACTCAGGCAGATAAACAGGTGGTTAAGCTTGAGGAAGCAAAGAAGGCAGTACAGGCTGTAACTACTGCAGAGGTGCCATCAGCTGGCACTCCTGCTGAGTCTCATATAGAAGAGTCTAAGGTCCAGCCAAGAAGAAGCAGACGCCTTAATGCTAACAAGACTGTACTAGAAGAAGAACCAAGCAAGAGAACTGGAAATCAGAAAGTTGTGACAGTTGAAAAACAAAAGTCTGAGCCAGTTGAGGTAGACGAACCAACTGCTGAGGCAGAATCAGAATCATCAGCACCTCAACGTAGACGTAGTGGCCGCCTTCAGAAGAAACAAGTAGAAATCCCATCAGAGTCAGAACTGAAGCCAAAGGGTAAAGGAGGAAAGGCTGGGAAAAGTGATAAAGGTGGAAAGAAGGGGAAAACTGCTAAAGTTGAAGAAGAAAAGGCAGATGTACCTGAGATGAGTGATCTTGTTCAACAAGATGTTGGTGAGAAAGAATCTTCTACACTGGAGTCTACCAAGGAGGAATACATACAGATTGTTGAAAGGGTTCCACAGCTTCCACAACTCCCAGAAAGGGTTGTCCATACAACTGAGGTGAAAGCTTTGAGTATCAAAGAGACAATAATGAATAAGTTGCAGGAAGAGAAAGAAAAGTCAGAAAAAGAAGAAAAGGAAAGGAGGGAGCTTGAAGCAAAGCAGAGAGAAATTGAGTTGAGGAAACAGAGAGAGGAAAGGGAGAGGATAGAACAGGAGGAAAGAAGAGAGAAGGAAGAAAGAGACAGGGAAGAAAGAGACAGGAAGGATAGAGAAAGACGTGAAAGAGATAGGGAACGAAGAGAAAGAGAGGACCGTGATAGACGAGACAGAAGACGACGATATGATGATGATCGTAGCCACAGAGATAGAGATCGTGACAGAGACAGGGACCGTGACAGGGATCGGGATCGGGATCGTGATCGTGATAGAGATAGGGACAGGGAGAGGGATAGAGACCGTGATCGGGACAGGGATCGGGATCGGGATCGGGATAGAGATGACAGGAGGAGGAGAGATCGAGATGACCGTAGTCGTAGAGATGACTACAGGTCTAGAGACAGGGATGACAGGGATAGAGAACGCTCCTACAGGGATGGACGGTCAAGGAGAAGATATGATGATGATTATGACAGAGACAGCAGATCTCGATCCCCAGATGACAGAAGAAGTGAAAGGGGCCGGAGAGATGATAAGTCTGAAACTGATTATAAGTCAGATGATTCGTCAATGGCAGCTTCTCAGGGATTTCTGCCAAGCTCAGGAGATTCTTCTAGTCCAATAAAACCAGAAAAAGTGAAGTCACGTTGGAGGAGAACCAGTGAAGCTGAGCGTATGGCTGAAACTATAACTCCAATGAAAAGTCTTAAAGACCCCACGGCCTATACAGTCAAGGCCTTAGACTTTGATCCAGCAGCATTCCCACGATCTTCATCTGCAAAACATGGCGACTTGTCTAAACTCCATCATGAACCTCATCCAGATATGTATCCATCTCTTAAAGGTCTTTACCGACCCTCAGGGCAATCTCAGTATCCAGGAGCAGCAGAACTGCTTGCCACCTTTGCTGGACCACCTAGTTCTACCTCAGCTATTGCAGCTCAAGTTTCTGCTCCTCCTCCCCAGGAGGTCTACCCACCAGCATCAGGCCCTGTCACAACATTCCAACAGGACCAAGGTTTTCCATCCAGCTGGCCTTCACCACCACCACCACATGGTGCTCAACCACCTTCAGGGCATGTTCCTGTCCCTGGGATTCCACCTCCGACAGTCCACCCTTCTTTGGTTCATGGGGTGCCACCACCCATTCATGGCATACCACCCCCACTAGGCATTCAACCACCCCCAGTTCAAGGCATCCACCCTCCTCCATTGCATGGCATTCTACCACCTCCAGTTCAAGGTGTTCAGCCAGCTCCTCCTGTTCAAGGTGTTCATCCAGCTCCTGTTCAAGGCATTCCTCCCATACATAGTATTCAGCCACCTCCTGTGAATAGTATACCTCTGCCTGACATCTCAACACCCTCAGGTCCACCCCCAAGTCACTTGTCAGCCCACATCCCCCTACCAGTGGGTAGAAAACCACCTCAATTGCCTGTGCAGCCACCACCAGAATTTACTTTAGAACCTCATGCTTTAATGCAAAACAGTCCCATTCAGGCTGGAGGGATGGAAGCTGCATATCCAGCTCCTGTTCCTGAACCAGAACAAGAGGATTCATTCTTGCTACCTCCTACTAAGGCAGCAGAAGGTCCTGTACCAGGCGAATCCTTTGTTTCACCAAACCTAGCCTCAAGGGTTCTTGTAGCAGTCAACACCTCCACAGTCCCTTCAAATGACTCAGGGAAAATTAAATGTGAAATAGATGTGAGTGAGGACAATTTCAACCAGAATGCATTGTTGTCTGATAACGTATGTGTTGAAGAGAAGCCATCAACTGTGGATAAAGTGTCAGGGTTTGAAGCTGAATCCACATCAGTTTTGTTGGAGACAGTTGTGATGCCACGAGAAGAGCCTACAAAAGAGCTTGAAGAAGCTGTGGAGAAGCAGAAATCAGAGGAGGTGAAGGAGGAATCAGAAACATACCCCTTCTTCGAGCAGGTAGAAGAGAACATCTACCTCACTGAAAGGTAAGCTAAGGTCATCTTCATATGTTGAACATATATCGCATATAAAATTATATTGTCAATTTTCACTTTAAAAAAACTATCCCCTAAAGTAATCATGATTCCTAAACATATTGTTCATTGGAAAAACGACTGAAAAAGGCCAAATGGTTTGCTTGTATTTGAAAGCCAAAAGAGATGCAGTATAAAGCAAATGTACCATGGTACTGTTCTTTATTTTCAGTTAAAGCGATTCTTCTAAGATTGTTTTGCAGTCTCTGATGATAACTTTATGCTAACATTTGTCTGGTGTTTCCTCTTTAGGCGGAAATCCAAGAGTATGAAGCGGATGGTGTGCGATTGTACCACTTCACGAGAGGACCGAGAGATGGGATATGATGCTTGTGGAGAGGACTGTTTAAACAGGATGCTTCTCATAGAATGGTGAGATTTTCATTGGTTCACTAATACCTGCCTTACTGTTCTTCAAACGTTTCCTACACGTCAGCTTGTATCAACATATTGTCAGTCCAGTTTAGGTGGAATATCTATTAGTCATTATGATTCAGGGATGAATAAATACAAAATTGTCTCATCTTAAGAATCATTTATCTACCATGTGCACAGAGACAGGTCCTCAATAAAAAAGCAAATCCTTTATTTCACAGCTGATCAAGAAGTTTGTTGAACACACTTTTGTCTTGTCAGTGTTCTGGGTTAGGATTGCCCTCACTACATTATTTCCGGTCAAAATAAGTGACCGGTCATCAGGCTCTTTGAATTGCTTGATTGTCTTGGTCACCCAACTGCATTCATCATTGCTTATTCTTGTGTTCACTGAATATCGTTGACTCCATTGTAAAACAAGTGGAGATGAGCCGATGGTGGTGTTGATTTGTGTTGTATGAACCATTGATTTAGCTGTGTCCTTGCCTTGCAGTGGCTCCCGCTGTGCCTGTGTTGAATATTGTGACAACAAGAGGTTCCAAAGGGTAGGTACATTAACCTTGACTTACAAAAGTCTTTTTTAATTACAGGACCTTTATGTTTCTTATAAAGAGTTTATTGTCACCTTAGTGCAGCATAATCCACTTTTTATTTGCCAGTCATAGTCGGGGACAATTGCTAAACCATTCAGAATGATGGTTTTCAGCAGTGTAGATGTATTGATTTTGATAGATGGCCCACTTAATTCATATCGATTATACTGACCTCTTTGGTTATGGCTACAGCGACATTCCTTTGCCAAAAACCTTCCTTAGATCCATGAACATCCTAGGCCTTTGCATTGCCAAGAAAGATGAGCTTGGTTGCTCGGTAACTGAAAACAACCCTCATGCATGCATCACAATTATCAGGCATTATTAATGTCACAAGATTTATTAATGTCACATGCTCAAATCTGCTCTTCATATAAATAGTATTCATATTTTTATTTCGACAGAAGGAAAAACGTAACTTTGATGTTTATTTTAAAGATGCATTCAGCACAAGGGAACAAATGGTGCCTGTATTCCCCAGTAATGTTTCCAATAATGGCATCATGCTCCTTGGTTTTATCCAAGTGGTAGATGTCGAAGACCTCTATCACTTTCAGCTTTATCCCCACATTAAGCCGACACACTGTTTTATAACTGGAATACTGTCATAAACAGCATAAAACTTAATTCACACTCACATTCCTGTCATTTCAATGCTGAAAATCCGTAGACCATTCTATCAGTTGACTTGGACAAACAGCACTATTCCATTAACAGTGTTGGCTTTCAAGAGTAGATTGATGAGTTGATGACTGCATTCTCTTGATTCGAATGTGGGGTTAGTGGTGGAGCCTAGTGGTTAAAGCTTTTGTTTGTCATGCAGAAGATCAAGCTTGATTCCCTACATCCGTACAGTGTGCAAAGCGTGTCCTCTGCTGTGATATTGCTGGAATATTGCTGAATGCAGTGTCAAACCGTAATCATTTGCTGTTTCAAATGTGATCCAATAAAAGAGGTCTTGTTGCAAGTCCACAAAACAGGGGGCCAGTGAAAGTATCAGTCAACTTTACGAACATTGGCATCATGTTACATTACTTTGTTTGACTTATCACTTTAAGTTAAGAATGTTAAATAAACAATGTGTTTTGTTTCCAGAAAAGCTATGCCGATGTTGATCCCTTCAACACAAAAAGTAAAGGCTGGGGCCTCAAAGCCAATTCAAAACTGGAACCGTAAGTTTTTATGGGGCTTTCTTTTTATGAATGTTAACTCTCATGTTGATTCAATTGAGGTACTTTATATTTTAAAAAGGCATGGAATGCTTGTAACATACAAAAAGTATAATGTACTTCTTGCAATTTCAAGTGCAAAGGGGGGTAACTCTGCCAGTGACCTTGAAAGTCATGACCATGTGTTGCACTTGGGTATTTCCTGTAGTCAGTGTTTCCGGTCTACATTTGGGAACTGCTTATTTCACAGTTATGTTTTATTCATTTGTTCTTCTGGTAGATAAATGACCTTATTCTTGCACAATTGAATTTACAGGACACCAGTAAGAATGATGGTTACAATCATGAAACTCTGAACACTAAAAGTTTAGGGTTTGTTGTGTTTTTTCATAATAATTTGTATTATATATTTTTTGTCCAGACAGATATAAACAGTTACATGTCCCTTTACAATTAAAAGATAGATTGGCAATGAAAGTAGAAATATAGATGACAATACAAAAAGAATTTCACAAAATAATTAAATTTACTCAGGCAGTTTGAATTCCGCAGTGGCGGTTGGTGTTTCCCCAGTTATCAAGTAGCATGTCATGTTGCAGGTGTTCAGCATGGCCAAACAAAATGTCGTGTGTCATGGCTGGCTTGGTGTTTAACACAACACCCCCTGAAGGTCACCACAGCAAAAATCTTACTATGGTATGCATACATTTTAGAGTACGCAGCTCACAGAACACAAACAAGCAATTATAGCCCTCTTCGTGATCATTGTATCGCATGCAAGAGTGCTGCATTTGCTTGATCAAACATTCAATGCAGTGATTGAAAAGTTCACTGTAAACACAACACAACTCAGCCAAGCAATTGTAGCCCTCTTCGTGGTCCTGGTATCACATGCAAGAGTGCTGCATTTGCTTCAGCAAACATTGCATGCAGCAACACCAAACAGCAACACAACATGACCAGGAATCACAGCCCTTTTTGTGATCATTGTATCACGTACAAGAGTGTTGCATTCGTGTTAAGAAACAATACACCGTCTTTGAAGAGGGTGTTCTCTGTTCTCTGGGAGTGCCATGTCCACTTCAAGCTTAGAAATAAGGCCACATCAGTGGAACCTTGTTCTATTCAAAACACCTCCACATGATTGACTGTCTGCCCTAGACTCCATGCATTGCCATATTCACAAAGATAGGGGGTGTGTGGTATTTGCCAATGTAGATCAACATCTGTACATCTGGGGAAACACCATACTGCTTCTGTCAACTGCCGTCATATTGAATAAGTGTTCTGACAAAATAACTATCAGTATCCAAATTAGAACTTAAGGTGATTATGATTACACATTATAGAACTGAATTCCATTGTTGTGATACGTCTGTTGACATCTAATATCTTCTGTACATTCCCAGTGAAAGAATTAAAAGAATAAATTTATATAAGCCAGAAATCACTAGAGTATCTACTTTCATAATTTCCTTTGGTATGTATGATATAGAGTCAGTAGACAAAATTTAGTATGAAAGTCAGATCAATGTACTATAGCAGATTAACAAGGGCATAAGTATCCCCCTTGATTTAACACTGGACAGTGTACTGTGCATGGAGATAGTTCAAGATCCAGCCTTACTCTTCAAAACCCTTTAAAGTTCCTGTATTGACATCAAGAAGAATCTAAAGCTATTTCTTGAGTAGTATTATGTTGATTAAATTTTTATCTTCTTTTTGACATATTTTATAATAAAAGTACAAATTTTAAATGTTGACTTTCAGTTGTAATCAACCACTGACTAACCTAACACCTCCACTGAACACCAAGGTTCCATTTCCAGGACAGGTGCAAATAGTGAAGTCCATTTCTGGTGTCTGCTGAAATATTGTAATGATTTCCTAAAATTATGTCTTGAATGTGGCATGATTTTGAAATACGTATATTTTGTGTTTCATTTCAACAATTCTGAATTCTTTATTGTTGTGGAATATAAGATATGTATTTGGCCTTCTGTTAATGGTTAGATCTTTGTAGGAATAAGTAAGAGCTGATGAAATAGAGATGAAAGATCAAGTGAAATAAATTCTGATCTTTGATTTTGTTGAAAAAGTGTCTGTATTATCTGTTTGCAAGGGGTACTGATCTATGTTTCAGGAGCACTTTTGTGATGGAGTATGTGGGTGAAGTCCTGGACTATCGCCAGTTCAAGAACCGCACCAAACAGTACGCTAAGAACAGCACCACCCACTTTTACTTCATGGCCCTGAATGCAGATGAGGTCATCGACGCCACGTACAAGGGCAACATCTCCAGGTTCATCAACCACAGCTGTGATCCCAACTGTGAGACACAGAAGGTGAGGTTTTCAGGATGTAGTTAATCCACTCGCTGGTTTATGTGTTGTCTCACTCAGTCAGTACTGTAGACATTACATTAGATGAATTGTGAAGCCAGATAGGATACTGGTACAGAATAGGTGACAAACCCTTGCTTGTCATGTCTGTTTGTAATGGTGACCTGGCTGTTAGTATGTCTACATTAACATGGTTGTTCAGGGTACATTGACATCGCTATTCAACATGCATAACATTGTTGTTCAACTCATAGACATCATTTTTCAACATACATTGACATCATTGTCTACATTAACATGGTTGTTCAGGGTACATTGACATCGCTATTCAACATGCATCACATAGTTGTTCAACTCATAGACATCATTGTTCAACATACATTGACATCATTAACATGGTTGTTCAGGGTACATTGACATCGCTATTCAACATGCATCACATAGTTGTTCAACTCATAGACATCATTGTTCAACATACATTGACATCATTAACATGGTTGTTCAGGGTACATTGACATCGCTATTCAACATGCATCACATAGTTGTTCAACTCATAGACATCATTGTTCAACATACATTGACATCATTGTCTACATTAACATGGTTGTTCAGGGTACATTGAGATCGCTATTCAACATGCATCACATTGTTGTTCAACTCATAGACATCATTGTTCAACATACATTGACATCATTGTCTACATTAACATGGTTGTTCAGGGTACATTGAGATCGCTATTCAACATGCATCACATAGTTGTTCAACTCATAGACATCATTGTTCAACACACATTGACATCATTGTCTACATTAACATGGTTGTTCAGGGTACATTGACATCGCTATTCAACATGCATCACATAGTTGTTCAACTCATAGACATCATTGTTCAACATGACACATTAACATCATTGACATCATTGTCTACATTAACATGGTTGTTCAGGGTACATTGACATCGCTCTATTCAACATGCATCACATTGTTGTTCAACTCATTGACATAATTGCTCAACATACATTGACATCATTGTCTACATTAACATGGTTGTTCAGGGTACATTGACATCTCTATTCAACATGCATCACATTGTTGTTCAACTCATAGACATAATTGCTCAACATACATTGACATCATTGTCTACATTAACATGGTTGTTCAGGGTACATTGACATCGCTATTCAACATGCATCACATTGTTGTTCAACTCATAGACATAACTCAACATACATTGACATCATTGTTCACATGGTTGTTCAACATACATTGACATCATTAACATGGTTGTTCAGGTTACATTGACATAATTGTTCAACATACATTGACATAATTGCTCAACAGACATTGACATCATTGTCTACATTAACATGGTTGTTCAGGGTACATTGACATCGCTATTCAACATGCATCACATAGTTGTTCAACTCATAGACATAATTGCTCAACATACATTGACATCATTAACATGGTTGTTCAGGGTACATTGACATCGCTATTCAACATGCATCACATAGTTGTTCAACTCATAGACATAATTGCTCAACATACATTGACATCATTAACATGGTTGTTCAGGGTACATTGACATCTCTATTCAACATGCATCACATTGTTCATCAACCCATAGACATCATTGTTCAACATACATTGACATCATTGTCTACATTAACATGGTTGTTCAGGGTACATTGACATCGCTATTCAACATGCATCACATTGTTGTTCAACTCATTGACATAATTGCTCAACATTCATTGACATCATTGTCTACATTAACATGGTTGTTCAGGGTACATTGACATCGCTATTCAACATGCATCACATTGTTGTTCAACTCATTGACATAATTGCTCAACATACATTGACATCATTGTCTACATTAACATGGTTGTTCAGGGTACATTGACATCATTTTTCAACATACATTGACATAATTGCTCAACATACATTGACATCATTGTCTACATTAACATGGTTGTTCAGGGTACATTGACATCGCTATTCAACATGCATCACATTGTTGTTCAACTCATTGACATAATTGCTCAACATACATTGACATCATTGTCTACATTAACATGGTTGTTCAGGGTACATTGACATCGCTATTCAACATGCATCACATTGTTGTTCAACTCATTGACATAATTGTTCAACATTCATTGACATCATTGTCTACATTAACATGGTTGTTCAGGGTACATTGACATCGCTATTCAACATGCATCACATAATTGTTCAACCCATAGACATCATTGTTCAACATACATTGACATAATTGCTCAACTGCTGTTTTTGTCAAACCTAGACTACATTTAAGTACCAAATTCATGGCATTTAATTAACATTTATTCAATGTTTGTGATTGGAATAGCAAATCATTAAAAGACTGACAAACATTTGCCCTTTCACACTAGTCTGTATGTGATTAAACATAGAATAGAGCTAAATGGGTCCTCTATGGGCCATGCTTGTCAGAATAAAACAAGTCGAGATGTTTGTGGAGTGGTTCATTTGAGACTTTTTGTTGTGCGTATCACAGTGGACGGTGAATGGTGAGCTGAGGATCGGGTTCTTCACTAGAAGGGCGATAGCAGCAGATGAGGAGCTGACTTTTGACTACCAGTTTGAGAGATACGGGTGAGACCCATTGATTGTATCCACTGAAATCATTGTGCATACTGAAGGATCAGTTGTCATGCAAGGCATTTTATCATTTGCTAATTTGTCTTGATGTTATATGAGAAAATTATGCTTGTCAGTCATTATGCTGTGATACAAGTTCAGAATACTTATGTCTTCACCACAGAGCAGGGACTGATGAATGATTCATTCCTCAATAAGTTGAAGGAAGTCATGCTGATATTATTGCCTGTATGTTACAGTGAGAATGCACAGAAGTGTTACTGAATATTGCCTGTATGTTAAAGTGAGAATGAACAGATGTGTTACTGAATATTGCCTGTATGTTACAGTGAGAATGCACAGATGTGGTACTGAATATTGCCTGTATGTTACAGTGAGAATGCACAGAAGTGTTACTGAATATTGCCTGTATGTTACAGTGAGAATGCACAGAAGTGTTACTGAATATTGCCTGTATGTTACAGTGAGAATGCACAGAAGTGTTACTGAATATTGCCTGTATGTTACAGTGAGAATGCACAGAAGTGTTACTGAATATTGCCTGTATGTTACAGTGAGAATGCACAGAAGTGTTACTGAATATTGCCTGTATGTTACAGTGAGAATGCACAGAAGTGTTACTGAATATTGCCTGTATGTTACAGTGAGAATGCACAGAAATGCACAGAAGTGTTACTGAATATTGCCTGTATGAAGTGAGAATGCACAGAAGTGCCTGAATATTGCCTGTACAGTGAGAATGCACATAAGTGAGAAATGCACAGTGAGAATGCAAGTGTTACTGAATATTGCCTGTATGTTACAGTGAGAATGCACAGAAGTGTTACTGAATATTGCCTGTATGTTACAGTGAGAATGCACAGAAGTGTTACTGAATATTGCCCAGTGAGAATGCACAGAAGTGTTACTGAATATTGCCTGTGTTACAGTGAGAATGCACAGAAGTGTTACTGAATATTGCCTGTATGTTACAGTGAGAATGCACAGAAGTGTTACTGAATATTGCCTGTATGTTGTTACAGAAGTGTTACTGAATATTGCCTGTATGTTACAGTGAGAATGCACAGAAGTGTTACTGAATATTGCCTGTATGTTACAGTGAGAATGCACAGAAGTGTTACTGAATATTGCCTGTATGTGAGAATGCACATAAGTGTTACTGAATATTGCCTGTATGTTACAGTGAGAATGCACAGAAGTGTTACTGAATATTGCCTGTATGTTACAGTGAGAATGCACAGAAGTGTTACTGAATATTGCCTGTATGTTACAGTGAGAATACAGAAGTGTTACTGCCTGTATGTTACAGTGAGAATGAGAAGTGTTACTGAATATTGCCTGTATGTTACAGTGAGAATGTGTTACTGAATATTGCCTGTATGTTACAGTGAGAATGCACAGAAGTGTTACTGAATATTGCCTGTATGTTACAGTGAGAATGCACAGAAGTGTTACTGAATATTGCCTGTATGTTACAGTGAGAATGCACAGAAGTGTTACTGATTATTGCCTGTATGTGAGAATGCACAGAAGTGTTACTGAATATTGCCTGTATGTTACAGTGAGAATGCACAGAAGTGTTACTGAATATTGCCTGTATGTTACAGTGAGAATGCACAGAAGTGACTGAATGCCACAGAAGTGAGAATGCACAGAAGTGTTACTGAATATTGCCTGTATGTTACAGTGAGAATGCACAGAAGTGTTACTGAATATTGCCTGTATGTGAGAATGCACAGAAGTGTTACTGAATATTGCCTGTATGTTACAGTGAGAATGCACAGAAGTGTTACTGAATATTGCCTGTATGTTACAGTGAGAATGCACAGAAGTGTTACTGAATATTGCCTGTATGTTAAAGTGAGAATGCACAGATGTGTTACTGAATATATGTCTGTATGTTACAGTGAGAATGCACAGAAGTGTTACTGAATATTGCCTGTATGTTACAGTGAGAATGCACAGAAGTGTTACTGAATATTGCCTGTATGTTAAAGTGAGAATGCACAGATGTGTTACTGAATATTGCCTGTATGTTACAGTGAGAATGCACAGAAGTGTTATTGAATATTGCCTGTATGTTACAGTGAGAATGCACAGATGTGGTACTGAATATTGCCTGTATGTTACAGTGAGAATGCACAGAAGTGTTACTGAATATTGCCTGTATGTTACAGTGAGAATGCACAGAAGTGTTACTGAATATTGCCTGTATGTTACAGTGAGAATGCACAGAAGTGTTACTGAATATTGCCTGTATGTTACAGTGAGAATGCACAGAAGTGTTACTGAATATTGCCTGTATGTTACAGTGAGAATGCACAGAAGTGTTACTGTGGGTCTGAGAATTGCCGAGGGTTCATCGGAGCCACCAAGGCAACCCCAGTGAAGAAGAAGAAGGACAAAGTTGTTGACAAGAAGAAGAAGGAACTGTTTGAAGATGAATCGGTAAGTGAACTATTCAGCACAGTGTTAGTGCAGAATTCAGACCAGTTGTAGCAGACAGAACCTAGCAAATCCCTGGAGAGTTTGGGATTCCCTACTTGAGTCTCATCGAAGGAAGAGAGAAAGGATCTTCCAGTGTATGCTAAGCCTCTAAAGCCTTGCTATTTGAAGGTCTCTGGGTAAGTAACATGGCATGTGTGCTCAGTCAATAGACATGCGTTTCTGGGTTTGTGTGCTTTGTCATGAGACAGAAGATTTACTGGGCTTGTAAAATGCTATGTTTGTCTGGTTCCAGTTGGAGGAAGAGTTGGAGCGCATGCAGCAGCAGGGCCTGAAGAACAAGGACCATGTCCTGTCCCTGTGTCGGCTCATGGTCAAGGTGGAGGAGTGCGAGCATCGCAAGGTCATCCTCAGGATACTCCAGGTGAGAACATCTTCCTTGTTATTCCCCGCCACGCGTTTAGCGCGAAGCGGGGCATGTAGTATTAGGCTCTGTCCGTCCGTACGAATAAGAATATCTTAAGAACCGTTCACTAGATTCTTTTCATATTTGGTACCTAGATACATCACAGTATAAGAAAGGTCCCAGTCAGGTTTGGTGATTTTGACCTTCATTTCAAGGTCACAAGGGGACTTTAACGTTTTACTCTTGTCAGCAAGATATCTCAAGAACCGCTCTCTAGATTTTCTTCATAATCAACACCAAGCTTTATCTAGGGAAGGTGCAGGGCCCAGTCGATTTTGGTGACCTTTACATAATGTTCAAGGTCATGGTGACACTTTGAAGATTTCAGCATGTTAACCTGCATGTTAAGCTATCTTAAGAACCGTTCACTGGATTTTCTTCATATTCAACACCAAGCTTTGCCTAGGGAAAGCACAGGGCCAAATCGATTTTGGCGTTTGGTGACCTTCACTTAATTTTCAAGGTCATGGCAACACTTTGAAGATTTCAGCATGTTAACCTGCATGTTAAGCTATCTTAAGAACCGTTCACTGGATTTTCTTCATATTCAACACCAAGCTTTGTCTAGGGAAAGCACAGGGCCCAGTCGATTTTGGCGTATGGCAACCTTCACTTAATTTTCAAGGTCATGGCGACACTTTGAAGATTTCAGCATGTTAACCTGCATGTTAAGATAGTCAGCAAGATATCGCAAAAAACATTCGCTGGTTGTTGTTCATATTTGACACCAAGCTTCATCTAATGAAGGTGCAGGGCCCAGTCATTCTTCTTCATAGAGATCGTCCTTGGGGTACATATGCATTTTCCATGCTGAAAATGTCCTGTGACAGTTGTATCAATGTTTTTGAATAAAAAGATTGTACAATAAATAAACTTTTTTATTCATTATACGGCCCCCACCTCGTGGAGTTACCTCCCGTTGCGCATGCGCACCAACTGGGTAATCACCTAGGCCCGTATCATCATTCCTTCTGCTGTCACTAACGTGTGAGGACGTATGTGTAGAGCAGCGTTATACTCTTCGGAACTCAGAGAATTATGTCTGAGACACCACCTGTATGTATGGTCTTTATCTTGTCCTTGCTAAGGAGCAGTAAAGCTTTGCGGTCGGTTGTTTCATAATTGTGACTTTGTATTATTTTACGCTAACTTTCCCGTGGTTTACGCACATGTTGCTCTGCTATGGCGGGAAGTTTAGCGTGCCACGTGGTTGTAATATTGCGTATTGAACCAACTATTTCTTCCCGTGGTAGCCTTCACGTATTTTTCAATGTTTTATACGTGTCTATTAGCTGCTGGTCCGCTGTTAGCTACATGCTTGCATGTTTGCTTTCAGGCGTTTTCCTCCTGTTCGGTCTGTGGGCAGAGCATTCCCAGGGCTGACCACCATGACAAATGCATTGTGTGTCTGGAAAAAACGGACCATATCTCAGAAACATGTGAGATATGCATGGGGTTTTCCCCCCGGGCCCAGAATAGAAGGGCGGCGGATTTTCTCTTTTATAGAGAGATGCGAGAGGCAGGAGGGGAACTGACCCAGGTCCCCCCGTCCAAAGCCAAAAAGCCTCGTAGGCAAGGCAAAAAGTCACGCAGCCAGTCGCCTTCTCACGCTCCTAGTAGCGGTTTTGACATGTCGTTAATTACGCAGATGTTCCAGCAGCACGCGGACTCGATGAGGTCCCTCGTTCATGAGTCGGTTGGAGGGCTCCGGCAGGAGTTCATCGCCCACTCTGAGAGTGGGGCGGAGAGTCTGGGGGGTGGGATCGATTCCTGCCTTGAGGCGTCTGTAGATCCGTTGCCTCTGGCTTCGGGTCCGGACGCCTCGGCTGCCCTGGAGGGGGAGGCTTCGCTCCCAGTCCCCCTCTCGGAGTTGGCGCAGGGTCCGTTGAGGATTCCTGGGGTTCCGGTCCCTGCGCCGTCCCGCCCCATGAGAGCGGAGGCACCAGTTCTGCCTGGTCTGCCTCCAGCGTCTCGGGACCGGGGTCCGTGCGAGATGGCAGGTGCTGACGCGGGGCGCTCTGTCTGCTCCTCCCTCTCTTCTGTGCCTGGTGCTAGGCCGCCCACCGGGTCGGGGTTCGGGTCCTCTTCGCGAGGAGACCCAGCCTCGGACTCGGGCTCGGGCTCGGGCGCCGAGTCCATGGATACTGGGGAGGTAGAGGAGCAGGAGGGTGCCTTCCGTTTTTCGTCGGCTTTGCGGGAGGTCCGGCAACGCATTGCTGAGTTCCTACCCCAGGCCGCGGTGCCTGCCAGCCGCACAGACTCGTCTGAGTTCCGCCTGCCAGGCGAGGCGTTTGCCCCTCGGCAGCCTAAGCAGACGCTGCTCCGTATTCTACCATCGTTGGTCCAGGACGTGGTTGATCCCCTCCTGTCTGGGTCTCGCCTCCGTTTCGACTTGCCTGAGCTTGTCCGGAGGTACCAGCTGGGGGAGGATTCCCTGTTCGCTGTTGCAGTGGTGGATGAGTGCGTGTTTACTTCGGTCGCCTTGTGGGGAGGCTCGGCTTCCTCCGGATCAGCTCCGGCTGCTTGGCAAGGGCGGTTAACACCACCGTTTGCCCTCGCGGGCCCCCCCCTGCGGCATGCGTACACAGCAGACCTTGCTGGCCCTTCCCTACCGTCTGGGAGCGACGTTTCCTGGGGCCCAGCAGGTCATACGGGAGGCTGCCGCTGCAGCTACCTCCTTCAAGGACTCTAAGGCCTTGTTGGAGCACCCGCGGGCTTCTCACCCCCGCGCTCCCGTTCCACCTTCCTCCGCCGGGGTGCAGCCTACACCCGAGTCCGCTGGCTGGCTTTGGCCACTTGGCAGAGGTAGGCAGAGGAACCGGTCCGCCAAGGGTAAGGGCAAAGAGCAGTCCTCTTCGACTAGCTCCCAGCCTTTTCGCGGGCGCGGGAGGTCTGCCCCGACCTCCTGTTAACCCATCAGGCTGTAGACCCAGCCGTGTGTCATTCCCAGTCAGCTCAGCTACTCGGGACCACGCACGCGCTCTTACCCAACGTCCCAGTGGGAGGCCGCCTCTCTCTATTCCTGCCGGAGTGGGAGAAGGCTACAAACAACACTTGGGTGCTGTCCACCGTCAGTGTCGGCCATTTACCATTGTGGAAGCGAGGTCCGCCCGACTTCACCGGCATACGCCGCACTCCGGTGCCGTCATGTCAGGCAAGGGCGGACATATTGCGCGACGAAGTTCAGGCTTTGCTGGACAAGTCCGAAATCGAACGCATACCACCGGGCGAGGAACAGGCGGGATTTTACTCCACGTACTTCCTCGTCCCGAAGAAAGACGGCGGGTTCCGTCCCATTCTCAACCTCAAGGGGTTGAATCGCATGCTCGAAGTACCATCCTTCAAGATGGAGACACTGCGCGCCGGTGATCTCCTCTGTTCAACCCGGCGATTGACCACGCCAATCGACCTCAAGGATGCGATTCGCATGTGCCCATACATCCATCGCTCAAGCAGTACCTTCGGTTCTCTTACGACGGGATGTGTTACCAATTCACGGTGCTCCCCTTCCGCATATCCACTGCCCCAAGGGTGTTCACCAAGCTCATGTTAGTCCCGGCTACCCTCGCTCGCTCGCAAGGAAGGCGTTGTTACCCTTACCTTGACGACTGGTTGCTCGGAGCACTAACACAGCCAGCGAGCCTAGATGATACTCACACGGTGATAGACATTCTAGTTCGACTGGGGTGGATCGTCAACCTCAAGAAATCCGACCTAGTACCCACCCAGGACTTGGTTTTTCTCGGGGCGAGGTTCCAAACACCCAAGGATCTCGTTTCCTTGTCACCCGACTGGGTCACCAGAGTACGGGAGATGGTGTCTTCGTTCCTTTCCCAGCCCCAGGCACCAGCAAGGACTTGGCTCCGTCTACTGGGCCAGACGCTCTCTCTCGCCGGATCCTGGCCCCGCACGAGTGGATGCTCGACAGGCAGATATTCAGAGTTATCTCCCAGTTGTACGGGTCGTTCCAGGTGGATCTGTTTGCGTCCGGCGGGACGAATCAGACACCCGTGTTCTGCTCTCCGGACCAGAGGGCGTTGGCTGCCGACGCCTTCCTGCTGGATTGGACGGGCAAAGTGCTCTGGGCGTTCCCGCCGTTACCACTCATTCCCCGTGTCCTTTCACAGCTGTCCACCCAGCCAGCTCGGCTGCTTGTGCTACTGGCACCGCTTTGGCCGTCACAGAGCTGGTTTCCGGTAATTCTCAGGTTTCTGGCTCAGCCTCCTGTTCTATTACCTTTACGACCGGACATTCTCACTCAGAACAGAGTGCCCCACCCCAATCCAAGGATTCAGTGGGTGGCTTGGCCTCTGTCAGGTCTAGCCTCGAGGCACGCGGAATTCCTGCAGCAGTTGCAGACACAATTCTGGCTTCGAGGCGGATTCACAAACGCTCAGTATGAGGATAGGTGGTCCTGCTATGCGCCGCTGGTGTTCAGATAGGGGATTGCAGATCCCTTTTCTGGCGGATTTAGTCCAGTATTGGAGTTTTGCAAGCCCGTTTGGAAGAAGGCCTGGCGGCTTCGACCATTCGTGGCTACTCCACCGCTATTTCCACTTTTCACACCCCTGTCGATGGTGCTCTTCCGGGGCAGCACCCTCTCGTACAGCGCTTTTTAGCTGGCGCGGATCGGGTTCGACCTGCTGTCAGGCGAACCAGTCCACCTTGGGATTTGTCAATTGTGCTCGATTGGCTGTCCGGTCCCACTTTCTCACACCTGGCTATTTCCATTCAGTTGTTAACTTGGAAGGCTGTTTTTCTGGTGGCGGTAACATCTGGGCGTAGGGTCGGCGATTTACATGCTATGTCGTCCGACCCGGGCGCTGACTGTGTTTCACACTGATCGTGTCAGTATTCGCCCCCGGATCACGCACCGCCCGAAGGTCGATGACGCTTTCCATGTGACAGCTCCTATCGAACTTCCCACTCTTACCCAGCCTTCCACATCGGGTACCTCTGCAACGAAAGCACTCACCCGTTGGATGTCCGTGAAGACACTCAAGGTCTATATCAAACTAACGCAGGGAATCCGTGACGGGTACCCAGCTGTTCTGTTGTTACGGTGGCGGAAGGCTGGTGTGCCGGGCGAGCAAGCAGACTTTGTCTCGCTGGCTAGTTTCGATGTATTTTGTGCGCTTATCAGGCTAAGGGCAAGCCTCCCCCTGAGGGGTTGAAGGCTCACTCGGTCAGGGCAGTAGCCGCATCAAAAGCTTTTGCATCGGCACTCCCCATTGAAGAGATCTGCTCTGCCGCTATTTGGAGCCGGCCTAGCACGTTTATTCGGCATTATCAGCTCGATACACATTCCCGTAATCGTGCGAGCTTTGGCCGTTCTGTTCTCTCCAGTGGACAGTGTCCTGCCACCCTGACCGAGTGAGTCTTGGTTCTTTGGTTTTTGTTGACGCTGCTGGTCAATACTGAGTTTTATTGACATGTCCGCTTCTGGGAGCTAAATAACCTCATTTCGATCCTCTACGGGGTATTTAGGTCGGTTGTGAGCGTTTTGACATTCCCCCCTACGGTGCTCACTAATCGACACCAGGTGGGTGGGGCTTTGTTTACATTTCGCACCATGTGCAAATTACTATGCGAACCTCTGAGGTCGTCTTTGAGTGCAATCCTCCCTGTCAGTTCTCCTCCCACAATGCCTCTCACGGAAGCGAAAACTGGGACATGTGACAGGTGAGTGTTATGGCGTCTGTTACATTATTCTATCTCTATGAAGAAGAATTAACCAAACCTGAAGAGGTTTTCAATTCTTCGAAGAGAGTCGTCCTTGGGGTAGGGCCTCCCGCCTCCCCGCAATTCTGTTCACTGATTTATTCAGCAGAAGGAATGATGATACGGGCCTAGGTGATTACCCAGTTGGTGCGCATGCGTAACGGGAGGTAACTCCACGAGGTGGGGGACGTATAATAAATAAAAAAGTTTATTTATTGTACAATCTTTTTATTCAAAAACATTGATACAACTGTCACAGGACATTTTCAGCGTGGAAAATGCATAATATGTACCCCAAGGACGACTCTCTTCGAAGAATTGAAAACCTCTTCAGGTTTGGTTAAATTTTGGTGACCTTCACATAATTTTCAAGTTCACTGCGACACTTTGAAGATTTCAGCATGTTAACCTGAATTAACTGGATTTTCTTCATAGACTTTCAAGACTTCCCTTGAATGTTTTTCAATATACAACTTCTTTAGTACCATTTTTGCATATTTCATACACTAAAGAGCAAGATATCAAGAGAGGTTGACTGGTCATGTTTTTGTTGACATTTAACTTCATCTTAAACTTTCATTGCTTTTAAGTTTGATTTTATAATTTGCGGCGGGTGATTATGTCATCTTAGTGACAATGCTTGTTGAAGTAATGGTGAATCAGTGACACTCTAGTATGTGCTCTATTATGTGGAAAGAAACCAGTGTATTTTGAATCAAGTTAAATACTGATGTGAAAGATGGTATTCAGCAGTATTTTTGGTTGTGGCAGGACACCCAGGAGCCAGCATGTCTGAGACTGTTCCTTGACTACCATGGCTTGCCTCTGCTGTGGAGCTGGATGGCTGACTCATCTCAGGAGGATGAGGAACTCAAGTTCCTGGTGAGTGAGTTCAACACTATTATTAGGGTTTTGCTTTCATGAATGTGGTGTTTGTGTTCAGGAATTAAGATTGTGTTTAAGTGCAGGTAATATATTTACACTATATCTGTGGTTCTTTTATTTCAGATATTGTTCACATTGAAGCTGCTGCCCATTAACAATAAAACAGTTTTGAAAGACAGCAAGATTTTAACTGTTGTGAGTCAGCTAGCAGAGTTGGAGTCGACCCCAGTGAAGTCTGAGGCAGACTCAAACACCAACAGTGATGTTCCCCCTCTGCCCTCCACTACCTCAACACCTGTGTCTATATTGGCATCCAGCAAAGATAGCAAGGACAAGCACAAGAAAAAGAGAGTGACTTTTGCTGATGAAGCTACCAGTTCAGATAGTGACATCTCTGATTCCAGCAAGATCACTTCCACTCAGCCAGAGTCTTCAGCATCCGAGCCTGGGTCTGATTCTTCGGGAGCAACTGGAAGTTTCTCAGACATTTCCTTCAAAGAAATAGCATATTCAGAAGGGTATGTGGACTTTTCAACTGAAGGTAAAGAAGCAGGTGAGGAAAGTGAAAAAGCAAAAACTGTGTGTACTCTGCAAGATGCTGAAGCAAGAGGGGAGGAGGAGGGCGCTGTGATTGATTCTGCAGATAGTTCTCAGGGAAGAGATGAGAAGGACAAAGTCAATATCTCTGTTGAGGCAGAGAGCAGTGCTACAGACATATCGGATAAAACGATGGAAGCTGAGGAAGCAAAAGGAGAGACTAAGGGAGATGATGAAAAAGAGTCTGATTCTTTGGAGAGTGATAGGAAAGACATTGTTATTAGTCCCAGCGAAGACAACAGCAAATCAAGCACAGACAGTGACAGCTCATCAAAGTCAAGCACTGACAGTGACAGCAAAATCCAGGATGATGCATCATCCATCAAAATTGAGGTAGCAGAGATCCATCATGAGGCAGCTGAAACCCAAAACGAGGCAGCTCAGACCAAGAGTGAGGCAGTTGAAACCCAGAATGAGGCAGCTGACACCCAGAGTGAGGTAGTGCAGGCCCAAAGTGAGGCAGCAGAGATTCAGAGTGAGGCACTTGAGGGAGATGATAAGAAAAGTCTGTCTGTCCTGGCCATAGAGCTTTTGGAACAGTGGAGTGGCCTGAAGGTAATGGATAAATATACCTCAAATTCCAGTTGATAATAAACATAAAACATTCATAAATTCTCTTACCTTAGCCTATCTTACAAACCCTGAACCATATTAGTTTCCCTTTAACCCACCACTGCCTCTAAACCAAGCGTTCTAAATGAAGAAAATCTAGATTTCACAGGTTCAGGATCTGTTATCTGTCTGTAAGTGAAATATGGACACAGTCTATGGTCTTCAATTGGCAAGTCTGGCGATAGCTAGTCTCCTTGGGAATTTTATTTAGAAAATAGTGGTACTTTATTGCCTAACTCATGGTCTGACAAAGGTTCTTCACATATTTGTACAACGAGCCCCAGTGTGATATGATTAAGGCTTAATCACGAAACACAAGGATGGTTTCTTTTGACTGACCTGGTACGCTGGATAATTTATACATATATGTGTTATTCCAGATAAATTTGCTATTTGCTTATGTAACTTGTAAATGACACAGATTTCAAAATATGTCTGTATGAATGGGAGGGCTATGAGGTAAGGACAGCAGTACTCTGCCATCTGGAGAGACCACAGAGCTTTACAAGAGGGCCAATAAATATGCCTGTCATTTAAACATTTATCTGATGGTTGTAGGATGAGAATTTGAATTGATAACCCACCATGTGTAGCACCACTGCAGATGTAATTAGTTTCTGATCTCATATCTCAATGTGGCTTCTTTTCAATATTAAATAGAGATCTTTGTTTCTCGCACAGTTATACATTTTCCGAGATTAAGACTTAGTGTAATTTTACTTATGCTTTATTTAGTAAATGTTGTCTGAGACTTTGAGGACAGTAACTAAGTCAGCATGAATGTATTTGCAGGAGCTTTTTAAGATTCCTAAGAAGGAGAGAGATGAGGAGAGGAAGAGGACAGAAAAGGAGCTAGGTGAGAGCTGATGAAATCAGGCGATGCATATACATGTACTATGGCAAGATAGCTTAATGAGGTAGAGATGTCTTGGTGTAATAAACTGTTGAAACCATTGTCCGTTGTTTTTCAGATGTCCAGTATACTGAGCGATCCAATAGAAAATCAGGTGAGTTGATATTTAATATACTCCTGTCTTGTTTGTTTACTGTTGCCAGCATAACTGATTTGATTGGGTCTGTCTGTCTCTAGATGTCAGCTGTACAGGATAACATTTATATTGATTGGAATTAACTTGGTCATTACTTTGAATGTGTAGTTCATATCATCCACACACAGGGCCTTTTCAACAAAGTTCGAGAAGTCAGGTTAGGACGTTGATTATAGCACATCTTTTATGTTAAATTGGAGGTGAATCTTTTCTGTTCTCTTCTTTATTTGACAAACAGTAAACAATGAACTTGTTACCTTTCTATGTTTTAGGGCCGCCCTCTAAACGTAAGCGGAGGCGAGATGACACATCAAGCCCCTACAGGAGCAGGTAAACATATGTTTCATTTCAACACAGTCCAAAACTCACATGCTATTTAAAATATGCATAATGTTTTTAATGGCCAATGAAGAATGATGATTAAAGAGATGCAGTTATATTGTGAGTCATGGTGCTTCAGTATTGAAACCACAGTGGTCATCTTTGAGCTTTAGCATTTAAACTGACTGCTTTTGTTAAGGCAGCAATAAAGCCCCTCTGTCTAATGGATCTCGTGACACTCTCTCCTGACCTCCCCCACGAGCAGGCACGGACCTGTTACAAAAATGTAAACACAGGTGTTCTTTGGCTTGAAAAGTTGAGGTGTAAAGTGACCACGTCTTGATGTGTTTTTTCCAGGAAGCCCTTGCTGCCAACTCCCCCAGAGATGACCAAAGAGGAGAGGCGCCAGCTGTTTGAAGCCCAGGTCCGGGCTCAGGATGAGATGAATGCTGAGATACGGAGACAGCAGGAAGAGTACTTGCAAGCTAGATATGCAGAGAATCCCAACTATGACCCAAGATATGACCCTAACCTGGCTCAGTATTATCAGCAGGAGCAAGACCCTGGCTTCACCCAACAAGACCCAACTTTCCCACTGGATCCCAGCTTTCAGTATACCCAAGATCCCTCTATGCCACCAGGTAGTGTTACCAAGACAACACCTCCAGCAGGTCATATGGCCGACCTTGACGCTGGGTCCAGCCAAGCAGGTGTGTGGGTGTTGGCATGCATGAAAGCATACGCTGATGGCTGGCTGGCTGGCTGAAGTTTGAGATGGCTTGTGACTTGTGTTGGAGTTTTATTTTCCTTGTATTTATTGTACATGTTGATGACACTTCATTGTAAGCTTACTTGTTTGCTGGTCGTACATACGACAATGTTAGATTGGATGCAGCTTTCAATTTTCCATAATTTGTCACTGTTCTGTGTCTGCAGCTTTTTCAAGTACATTTGTTTTGTGTCATTGTCCCTAACATCAGTAGCAATGAAAAACTATGCCATTTTTGTATTTTATATGGCTGTTCAGCTGTGAATGAGTGTGAGAGGTCTTGTTTACCCAGAAATGTAGTCTACAATATAGATTGTATGCTGACAGGTCATTACCCCGGGATGGAGGGGATGGCGTCTGTACTGAACTACTCCAACATGATGGACCCCAGCCAGGCCCAGCAGTATGTAGATCCACATCAGCCCCAGATGGTGTATCAGCAGCAGCAACAGCAGCAGCAGTACCAGGTGAGGCTTTACCCATCAGAAGCCGGCTGTATTACACCACAAAAAAGCACCAAGACAGAAAGTATCACATAATGATAATGCCGCACAAAACCACAGTTTGGGGGTATAGCTATTATACGCTAGTATTACTTAGATAACTGACATCAATGGATTTTGTCAGACTTGGGGTCACAAATCTTATGTGGAATATAGAAACTGTGATGTGCAAGTGATGAATATCTATAACCTCCAGTATTCAGGATGTGGCAATGTACAGTATGTAATATCTGTGGTCATTGTTCTATTGCAGGCTGCGGCTGGTGTGCTTGCCCAGTCCACTGTGGCTCCTGTCACCGACCAAAGCATCCAGGCCCAGCAGGTCATCTACACGCACACACCCAGCTCAGCTGTGCAGCCAAGCATTGTGCCAGTGGCAGATCCTACCGTGGTGGCACAGCAGGTAGGTCCCAGCACAGCAGTGTATTCCAGCATTGTGTCAGTGGCATACCTTAATGTGGTGACTCCTCAGCTAGGGGGGCGGTGGGGTAGCCTAGTGGTTAAAGCGTTTGCTCGTCGCGCCGAAGACCCGGGTTCGATTCCCCACATGGGTACAATGTGTGAAGCCCATTTCTGATGTGCCCTGCCGTGATATTGCTGGAATATTGCTAAACGTGACGTAAAACTCACCTCACTCACTCACTCACTCCTCAGCTAGGTCCCTTAGCACAGCAATGCAGACAGAACAATGCATCCACATATATAGTCTTAGTGGCAAAAACAAGGAGAGAAATATGCCCATATGCTGTGTCGTAGTTCCAGCAGTAAACCATTGTTCCCAATGCCATCATTTACTGGCTATAGTAATACGGGCAATATGTTACTGATTCTCTCTCTATAACCTCTAGGATCTGAATGTCCTGCAGTTGACCACAACTGACTGTTCATGTTGCAGGTGCAGCAGCTACAACAGTTGATCAGTCTCCAGCAGAACCTGGTTTCACTGGCTCAGCCCCAGAAGGATGAAGAAGAACCTCCACCACCTCCATCCAAGAACAGCTCTGGCCTGCCTCCACTTTGGAAGTCAGCCACTGACAAGGAGGGCAATGTCTACTACTACCATTCAAAAACAAAGTTAGTACATTATTTATTAAAGTACTGTAACAGATTTGTTGTCATGAAACAAATGAAGTGGATGATATACATTGATGATCTTCACATTTTAACTTTTGTTCATAAGACTCTATTGATGCTCCAAAGTGCGTGTGTGTAACTAGTTTGTAAGCGTTCTTGTTTCTACTTCAGACAAACCCAGTGGGACCCGCCAACATGGGATCAAGTGCCTGAGGATAACATGGAAGTGGACTCTCCTGCAGATAAAGAACCTGAAGTGAAGGTGATTGGCTCTTCCTCATCTCTTTCTCCTCTACCTCATTGACATGGATTAAGTGTCTCTTTAGTGTCTGGAACCATCACATAGCGGCACACTTTTGATGAGTGTCTGGAACCAAGATAATGTCACTGTTGTGATAAGTGTCTGGAACCATCACATAATGGCACACTTGTGATAAGTGTCTGGAACCATCGCATAATGGCACACTTGTGATAAGTGTCTGGAACCATCACATAATGGCACACTTGTGATAAGTGTCTGGAACCATCACATAATGGCACACTTGTGATAAGTGTTTGGAACCATCACGTAATGGCACACTTGTGATGGATGTATGGAACCCTTATGATTTAGTGTCTGGAACAGACAGGTATGACCACCCCTGTGATTTTGTGTATATGGAGGGTCTAGAACCAGTATGTATCAGCACATTTATCATTTAGTGTTTAGTCAGTGGAGCTGTTACATATCTGAACACCAATGCGTGGTAGTTACCTTGTGTTCTCTATTGGCTCAGACCTCCAAGAAGAAGACAACCACAGCAGCAGCTGACACGTCCAGTGAGGTTGCCAAGAAGATCAAAGACCAGTTCAGACAAAAGGTATTGCTTTCTCTCTTACCAAAGTCAAAGCTGGTTTGTGCCTTCTCCAAAGATCCACCTCTCAAGGTATCTATGGCAGGTTGTAATACATGATTGTGCTGTTCCCAGATGTCACAGCTGATTGTGAGCTGCCTCAACCCTTACCGCAAGCCTGACTGTAAGGCAGGAAGAATCTGCTCCACTGATGACTTCAAGCACCTGGCCAGGAAGGTGAGGGGAACCATAGATACACAGTCCATTCCTTACACTAGACCTTTACTACACATGCATTGCAGTACACCTTTAGTGTGTATTGCTGTGCACCTCTTTATGGTAATTTCTCTGCAATATTTGTACAAGATGTATTGAAATTGTGTACATGTCTTGTAAGTTGCTCTGGAACAAAGACATGCAGGATCATTATTCACACTTGCTGAAATGTCCTGAAACTGATCTGGACCACTTCAGTGTCCACCTGGAGAGCAGGCGACTAAAACACGTTAAAATATGGTACTTGTTGGTCTCTCCCTGGCGTTTGGCATAATGGGTACTACAAGGACTGGTCGGCTTGGAGCCAGTATAATGTGTCTGAGTGGGGTATTCATGCTTAACTGCGGCATGGTATCTCAGTGAGCTAGCACTATAAAACCAGCATAAGTCTGGGCTAGTACAAGCAGCCACACATACACACATATGCATGTCGTCATATGAGCGAAATATTCTTAAGTGCGACGCTAAACCCCATTTCACCTCACCTCACCTCAAACTGATCTGTTAAAAAATCTCTTTTCAGCTGACACATCACGTGATGGCCAAAGAGCTGAAACATTGTCGTCATGTGGAAGACCTTGAAGTCAATGAGAATGTCAAAGCCAAGGCAAAAGACTACATAAAAAAATACATGGACCGATTTCCATCTGCCTATAAGAAAGATGATGACTCTGAATATTGTACTTAAACTTGCTAGAACATCTAGCTGTGTTAGGTTGCCAATGTACATATTGTGTTGTTGATGTATATATTATGTGGAGAGCCCTGTCATCATCTGTTATTGTATATATCGTGTGTAGCCCTGTGTTCAACTGTTGATATATGCTTTGTGTCTTGCCCTCAATTCATCTGTCATTGTTTATACCATAGATGCATGGAAGGTACAGTGTGGGTGGGAATGTCTGTGTGGGTGTGTGTTTGCAAATCTGGGCAGTGTATATACAATATCATCATGAATCAGAAAGTGGTTATCTGACATCATCCAGGGATACATAGTGTTTTAGCTGATTTTGCAGTTTCAGTTGAATGTATCTATCCTATTTGAAAAAGTGAAGTCATATGACCTACTTTACTGAAGCAGCTATCAATACTATCTCAGAGTTTGAAATACATTAGGATTCTGATACCTACAAACATCCCTTTGACTTCAGTCCTGAAGTAAGGAAGAATAGATAAAAATGGCAAAGAACTATTGGGGATTTTTTTTATGGTCAATCTGTTAAGATTTTAATAAATGAACTAGTTCAGTTACATTTTAATATATGATTGTATTACAGATTTTAATGGATGTAATGAGTTAGGAAATATTTTAGATGAAAGTTTTACTTGTTATGTTTTGATAATAGCTTTTATATTTCATTGTTTATTTAAATTCTGTGTATGTTCTGTTTGAAACAACAAGGGTTTTTGTTTGTGAGACTATCAATAATGACCTCAAACAAACACAATTTGAATACAATTCTCTAACATTTCAGGAGAAGAAATGTACAACAGGTACAGTTTAATCCTCTGAAGTTACATAATTGTATTACTGTAGCCCAGTTCACTAACTGGATTCATAGAAGAAATGTTCTGAGAATAACCTATAATTGTAAATTTAAGTTCCCCATATGTTCTTCAAAGATTACCATCATTCGCAGTTACAATATTATTTCACTTTCTAAGAATAGAGCAAAATCTGCTTTCACTTTCTCATCCCACTTGGTCCAAATCACCAACTTTAATGCTGGTTTTAAGTTTTTGTTGGAGAACAATTTATGTTAAAATCTTCAATGGATTATTTTACCTTATGTACATACCAGCTTCTAACAGTAATTTTGTGACATAAAACGAGATATTCATGTAAAAGCTGGAAATGGGTACAACACAACTGATTTGCTACTATGATTTTGTTGGGAACACGTGCAAATATGGTGATCAGTCCCCATATGGAACATGGTCCTGTGTGCCTAATGACTCTTGTCAGTGTTTCTTTCGCTTGTGTGTAAGCAGATGGGGAGCATCTACCATTTAGCAGTCAGTCTGTCTCCATGTTGTGTTGCGCACAAGGTATAATAGCATGCCGTACATCTTTCATGTGCAATACATTCAACTCATTTCATTTAGAAGGGATAATTGAGTTTTGTACAATATTCAGATGAACTGTATATTTTACTATTTTGTGATAATAAATGCAAACAAAGTTTTCACTAGTCTGTTGTCCTGACTGCAAGGTTTCTTTCATTAATGTATCATTACTGAGTGAATGACAAAGCAACAGACCATGCACGGCTGGTTATATGAGCTTCTCTGTGGTTGTCCATTTTGTTTCTTGAGGATGCAAACATTTCTGTATCTCAGATTGAGTTGGACACCACCTTGAACAGTATTTCAATTAGATCATGATGGGTTGGGAGAAAGGCCCAGTTGATGGTCCTGGAGGTTTAACTGTGGTGGAGAAACTTGTGAACACTAACTAGAAACTGGATTCAAATCTTTTAACTTTTGTAGATCCTGTGACCTCTGCTTCCTTCCCATTACATTTGCATGTGTTCAGTTACATTAAGTGGAGGCATCTTCTTGTGGCAAACAAGGGAAACGGGTCATACCAGTAAGAGTTTGACGAAACCTTTGAGCATTGATGACACACCACGGATCACAATCTGGCCGATTCTTGGATTCCAACCCACTATCTGAAGATGCTGAAACTGCTGAGGGATGCAACGTTGGGCAGGATAAAACATGTATAAAATGGTTGACATATCACATTTTCATCTACCATACTGCTGGGCTTTTTACTTTTATGTTTCAAACTTATAAAGGCACAATAAAAACTTACCTCAAATTGGTGGTATCAGGAACTGTAAAGTATGCAGATTGAGACAGGTGAAACAGGTGTTTTGAGAACCTTACACATTTCAAAATGCTAAGCCTAAAACAACAAACACTTGACTGCATGAACCATACATTTAATATGAAACCATATCTTATGTCCATTTATTATGCACCATTCCATAAAACAAGTAAATGCTTATTAGGGGTGAAACGATACACTAGCTCATCACAGTTAGATACACAAAACATGTTTCTCTGTACTGATTCATGACAATACATTTTTAAAAATAAATCACTCCCTGTTTTATGACCCTACTTCCTTTCCTCCAGCATTTTGTGCCAGTCAAATATCTCAAAAAGTACTGTAAATTCTTGAAAAATGACAAAAGGGCATGCCTCGATAACATCATTCTTCTTTGACATTTTCTGTAAACATAAGAAAATGTGTCATGTGTGGTCAAGATTTAGTGGAGGTTCAGTGCCGGTTGGTGTAGTACTTGCTCTTCGGGACTATATTATTGCATTCAAACCATGGATTTGTGCCTACTTTATGAACATCTTAAACACACTGGGGATTGTGACATTTCCAGCATTTATGTTTTTTCGCATGTCAGATGGGTTGTTTTATAAATTCTAAGATGCTTCGGTGAAAGATAAAGGCGCCGACAGTACTCTATCAGACGATAATGTATACTTTTTTCATTACGTCACAATGTATTGGCGTCACTGCGCCATTCTAGTCTACCCCCTCGTAATCGAACGTACCCTGGTAACCGACGTCACGATGCATGTCAGTTGTCATCGCCTCGTACAGCCTCCTACAGTAAACAACTCCGTAACAGTCCGTTTCCTGGGTTGCAGTTGCTTCATTCGGCTAACATCACTGGTGGAAACATTACGTTAATGTATTTCGACGGATATGATGTCTCAGTTCGACTCACAATTAAACAGCGACACGGCAACGTTCGCAATGTTTACATTCCCACAGTGCATCCGTGGAATGTCGAGTGACTACTATTTTAATGGTCAGCTTCATCTCGATGTACTGATCTAACTTACGACGTTCTTATTGTCTCAAATGGGACAGACGCGTCCACAGAACAGCGCGTCAGTTAGCCCTGAACGAGGATTGTAAATTTAGGTCACCGACACCGTCGATTTTCTGTTGGTTTCCTGCCTTTAATTTGTCGTCGATAAGTATTAAATTTGGGCATCTTAGAGAACAAATACAGCTCGCTCTACCACCGCGTATAGTGTAATAAAGCAAACTTTTGCCCTGAACTGTTATATGTAAAGTACGAGTGTACTTTATTACATGGTGGTAGAGCGAACTGTATTTCTTAAATATGATCACAATTTACACCTTTACCCATGAAAATCGGACGCAAGCGTCCTCCTACTTCAACTATAACAGCACAGGGCGAAAGTGTGCTTTATTACACTATACATGGTGGCAGAGCGAACTGTATTTCTTAAATATATTAGGAAAAACATTTTAGAATGCATTGCTACCAATTTAATCCAGTTGGGTCCAGTCAACCATTTGTGAGACACCTGTATCTAAACAGTATACATATGCGTCCACAAAACCCTTGTTTTACATGATTTTCTAAGATGCTTCGCTAACAGATCAAAAGCGCCGACAGGAGATAAAGTACACTTTTTGCATGACGTCTCAATGTATTGACATCACTACGCCATTCTCGTCTGCCCCCTCGTTATCAAACGTACCCTCGTCATCGCCTCGTACAGTCTCCTACGGTAAACTACTCCGTACCGACTCGTTTCTTGGTTTTCAGTTGCTTCATTCGGCAAACATCACTGGTGGAAACATTACGTTTATGTTTTTCGAAGAATAAAATGTCTCAGCTTGACTCACAATTAAACAGCGACACGGCAACGTTTGCAGTATTTACATTCCCACAATGCATCCGTGGAATGTCGCGTCGCGTTTGCGTTAATCACAGATGTAATTACATGTATATTATTTTAAAGAAGATATTTAACCCGAACTAAACCGTCATCAAACTTTTTATCATTAGTTTTTCTGGTAACGTGCGTGTAACGTAGGGGGCAGACACGCCACCACAGAACAGTGCGTCAGTTAGCCCTGAACGATTATTGTTAATGTTTTCTGCCTTAGATTTATCGTGAATAACCAGAGAGAGTATTAAATTTGTCATCTCAGAAAAGAAATACAGTTCACTGTACCACCATGTGTATTGTAATAAAGTACACTTTTGCCCTGAACTATTATAGTTACAGTACGAGTGTACTTTATTACACTATACATGGTGGTAGAGCGAACTGTATTTCTTACATGTGATCACAATTTATACCTTTACCCAAGAAAATTGACGTGAATGTGATGTCAGTTTGCAATTTTGTCCCGTCCGGTCCGAGAGATCCGGCTTTAGAAAATTGTGTCCGGATTTTATTACCAACCCGGAAGTACTAAAAAGCGGCAAATACAACTTCACTTGTGGAAGTTGTCTTCGTCATAGTGTGAAACAACAATGGGACATTTGATACCCAGGTGTTTGATAAACCGCCTTTTTGTTATTGATACACATGGCGTTTTACTTACGGCCATCAACTGGCCACGTTTCACTGCAAAAACTGCATACGTTTGCGGTGAATCGATTGGAATTCTTACTAAAAATTCACCATGCAGGAGGAGATCGCCTTCGACTTCTTGATATCACCAACAATATTCAGACAGTTGCTGACTCTGACTGTTTGATAGAGGGAACACAGAAGGATAATATTTCGCATTTTATTTTAAGGTAATTTAATTATGGGTTCAATGTGTATATCATATAGACACTTGTAAGACAGTCAGCTTGGGTTAAGAACTGACCCCTTATCGTACCCCGTCACTTATCTCACTTTGCTGATGAGTTAATTGGTCACAAATTGAAATAGTTTTATAATGTATAGTAACTATGGTGTATTTGCTTTTGTAACAAGCCCATGATCCTTTCATACAAGCCCAGGCTACCCAGTTAATAAAAATGGTGTACCAGTATTTGTGGCTGTTCATGGTCTGTATATTATTTGCTCAAAATTATTTTCCTTCCATTCCAGACTTCTTTTTGTTGCTGATCAAGAAACCACAGATTTTTTCTTGCAAGCAGAAACTCAGTTATTCCAGTTCCGATTTTCCTGTCTAACTGAAAAAGAAATTTACAGACTTCTGAAATCGACAACAAAACATGTTCCAACCATTAAACAACCTTGTGCCACAACATACCATGAAACAGACATCTGTCATGTTCTAAGTATCCTCCAGGCAATCAAACAGTCAGCAGGAACTTGGCAGAATGCTGCACACCAGTACATGGCTGGGAGGAGTGGTCAGTACTTCCACCTGCCCTTCCAAGCAGTTACCCCCCTTGTTAGCAACAGGAGGGTTGCGTTGCACAGGGGAATGGCAAAAGTGCATTATGACAACCTTGATGAAGTGTTGACTGGACTGTTCAGGTCAGTATTGCAACTAGCCTTGAAACAAGTGAAGGACGCAAGAAGTACAGCATTGCAGGATGTCAGGATGAAGAGATGTGCAAAAGTGTTGAAGGTACAGTTGACCAATATATGCTGAAAAAGTCAAGTAACATAATACACTGGTGTTAATATTATGCCTGATGTCAACATGATCAATAAACAGGGTATTTGGAATTTGATTTCTGTGACAACAATGATTGTTTTGCTTTTTCTGTGCCTAAGGAAATGAATCTGATGATGAATGTACCGGTACATTACTGAATGTAATTATACTTGAATTGAATGAAGGTTCTTCTCAGTCTAAGTAAACTTAGGCTCAGTATTATTCGTTACACTGCTATACTGAGTCTAACAAAACCTTATAGAAGGTCGCGTCAGCTAACCTATTGGACTGACCAATCAGAACACAGCTTACCAAATCGCAAAAGTTAACATTCGCACATACCGTTTGAACCTTTACCTCCAAAACTCGAACGATTCCGAATGCTATTTTCCGCACAATCGCTTCCGAGTGATACACACAATGAGTAAACAGTCGCTGAAAATAGTGTTTTTGTCAATATTCAAGGATGTCATCTTGCGAAAATATAAGCAAATAGTAACCATGTCATTAGAAACCCATAAGCGTATATACTGCAGATCAAATATATGTGTTTTATGCGGATTTTCGTTTGTTGATAGATCAGTGTCATTGACGAGGGAAGAGAAAATTAAAAATCATTTTGAAACTTAATGTAAGTCCCGCCGAACCCTAACAAGTAGTCGTCGTCTGATTGGTTAAATCCGTTCGGCTGCTCGCGTTTGATTGGACGGTCATAGGTCGCTCAAAGGTTAGCTGACGCGACCTTCTATAATGTTTTGTTAGACTCAGTATAGCAGTGTAACGAATAATACTGAGCCTAAGTTTACTTAGACTGGGTTCTTCTAGTCTATTTACAGAACAAAAGTTCCCATTCCACTTAACTGGAACAACCTGTCCTGTTTGTCACATCATCAAGTGGACCAATTGGAGCACCTGTTTCCTCTGTGTATGTCCAGCCTTCACAAAGCCCTGCGAACAAACCACCGTCTCAAACACAACGACAGGGTATGGGATCTCAGTACAATCAGTGTCACTGTTGAAACAATAGCAGATCTTTCATCAATAGACAACCACTTGTAGTATAATACTTGGGAAATGCTTTTGTGTAAATAATATCTCGCATTGCCCATATGATCCACATTTTAGTTATCTCTATTCATGCTGTACATATATATGGATGTTTAGTAAGACAATGACAGATGGGAACATCCATAGCATTTTGTCGTATTTGCAGGTTCTTTTGGGCTGGACCTGTGTAGATCTGGGCTAGAATGTTGATCTTCAGTAAGCCATGCTTGTCGTAAGAGGCGTCTAATGGGATTGGGTGGTCAGGGTTGCTGACTTGGTTGACACATGTCACCGTATCCCAATTGCATAGATCGATGCTTATGCTGCTGATTACTGGATTGTCTGGTCCAGACTCAATTATTTACAGACTACCATCATAAAGCTGGAATATTGCTGAGTGCGTGTTAAACAACAAACAAAACAAACAATCTCATGGGCTGATACATGGAACATGGTTTTCTTACTAGCACACAACAAAGTACAGTCGAGCTCGTTGTATTGAACTCTGATAACTCGATATCTCAGTTGTCTCGATATAACATCTCGGTCCCAGCAAAATCCTTCATAATTTGTCATTATTCAAGCTCTTTTAACTTGATACGGATGTCTCGATATTTCAGATATCTCGATATAATTTCATGGTCCCAACAAATAAAATTACCCTTTTAGCTCGATATTTGTAAAGAAACTCAATATTCACCTACCTTTCATGGGCAAGTATCCCTCTGAACTGAGGTTGTTTCCACACGTTTACACATGGTGCAGCTTGAATCAAAGGGATGCGGTAGTGTAAACTAATTAAGGCTAATTGGGTTGAAGGTGTCACTTTATTGTTATTTAATTAGGATTAATTAAAAAGGAATGAATTAGGAAGTACTCACTGTTACGACTAGACACTACTGATAACGGATTATAGTTTCAAATCAAAACATACTGAGAAGCGTTTTGTTTTTTCATAGTGATATCTGATGATATGCCCTGGTCGGATAACTCGATATATTTTTTCTTGGTCCCATGGATATCGAGACAACAGTGCTTGACTGTAGTTTTAATTTTGTACAAACTACATGGGATGATCAGCTGCATGTTGTCCAGACTGTGTAGATCCTTGTCCAAAGTTTGCATATGAACAGTTTCTGACTAGTATTACTGTCTACAACTGTGGCCACAAGTATGAGAAGGCTGAGGGATGTGAAACTGTTCAGTCTTGCAAGATAAGGTAATAGAAGTCCATGAAAATAATATGAATGCAGAGAATCTGGCTTGTAGGTTGATACGAGAATATATCACATTAGATGTTGTGGGTAATAATACTTTGGTGACTGTTTGGGAAGATATGTGCAGAGCTGTTACACAACTATATCAAACATTTATTTTACATGACCATGATGACAGCGTGACCTCAGAGTCTGGATGCTGATGTTATCAGTCACAGAGCTGCCTTTCCCAGTCGCAAGTACTCTTCACAGACATCTCGTACCATGTATATCATGTGTACCATGTGCACTCCTCACAGAATCACATCATCCTGTAAATATGCGTAGGACTTGACATTGTTCCATTATTTTCTGGGGATATGTTATGTGAGATGTTACAAAGGTGTACCAAGCGATCCCTCACCATGTTTAGGTCCAGTACAGCCTGTTCCTGAAGGAGGTGGGGATGCCAGTGCACCAGGCCATCAAGATGTGGAAGCAGGAGTACTCCCAGCCCAGTGATCTCCCAGGGACTGGCCTCCACAGCTGGCAGGCTGACGAGCGCAGGTACACATACAACATCAGACACCTGTACGGCCTGGAGGGTGCTCGTCGCAACTACCGAGGACACTGCTGTGCTTCACTTCAGGTGAGGCAGAAAGAGGATACGCACAAACATGGCTTCTTTTGAACTGGAATTTCAAAATGAATAGTGACATCCGTCATATGTATGAGAGGTGAAACAGAGAACCTTCATTGTTTTGTGGAATAAATAGTAACCAATGTTGAGTTTCATAATCATGTAACTATGGCAATTGGAAAAACAAAAACTACAATATGTTTACCATGCTATGCCTGAAATTAATATTTTGAATATCGAGTAATAAGCTGAATGAAGTGGGTTCACTGATGTTGCCTTTATTTGTTTGTAATGATTAGTGATTGATTTTTCAAGTTGATTGTTATTATACCAAAGTGCTTTAGTACAGTACAGTCTTTTCCTCCTGATGACTGATTCTGTTGTGTCCTCTTGGCCAGGACAAGCCCACAGTTTTGATATTTCTGAATCCCAGTGTGTAAACACAAACAAGTAACAGAACACAATGCAGAATTTGATTAAGTGTAGTTCCGCAAATGAAGTTGAACGTCTGCATCAATGGCATATATGAAGAAGTTGAATATCCATAGAACCATCTCCCTTCTTCATCACTTCAACTTCTAAATACCACTCCAAGAAGTTGTCTGCATTGTATTTTCCAGAGACGCCAACTTGGGCCAGCCGAACAAGGAGGATGCCCATTTGTGCATTTTGACAACCGTCACCTTGTTAACCTTCTGACTGATGTTGGTATCATGGAGGTGGACCAAGCAGTGATTCGAAACCTTAAATCATCTGGTGATCCATGTGGAGCCTGTGCTGGTTATCTCAGACACAGGGTTCAGTCCTGCTTGGACCAGCAGGGTGTTGATGGAAGACGAGACAGACATATGCAGGGACATACCCCTCCAGTTGATCAGACCCTCAGCAGAAACAATGGATACAATATTGACTGCAAACACATGACAAAGGCATCAGGACATGAACGTGTGGATAGAATACAGGTGTCTGGACAGGGTGGTGTGGTGTGTGGTGATGGTGAGATGGCGGGGCAGGATGACGTGTGTGAGGATAGCAAGACAGATGGGCAAGATTGTGATGTTATACTGGTCAGTATTCATACAAAGCACCGAGGGGTGAAAAGGAGTCTGTCCAACAGATCAGAGCGTGTCAAGAGACATGTTTTGTGGTATGAGAGTGGGAAGCAGGCAGTGCAGGAAAACAGAGCGCTGATGGAGACAAATGCTGAGTGTACTACCAGCAGTGATGCTGCTGCTAAGATTGACATAGAAGAGGCTGAGTCAATGTCAGACAGTTCGGTGTTGTGCCAAAATACAGTAAGAAAAAACCCTGTTGAAATGTTTCACGACCATGGCCAAACTGTGTCAGCAACATCAACCTCCAGTAGGTCAACGTCAGAGGAACATGAACAAGACTTTGTCCATAAACGACCACCAGAGCATGTGTATCACAGTAAAGCTGACACACATGGCACTGGAGATACCTTTGTCCATAAACGACCACCAGAGCATGTGTGTCACAGAAACACTGACACACATGGCACTGGAGATAGCAGCAAGTGTGGTACCCGTGTGTCATCTACGGCTGCAAGCCGTCCTGTGCCATCCAGTCAGTCAGACACTTCACTGACCCATGAAGATCCTGGCAGCTGTTTTGAACATGATGTTTGTCCGTCACAGACTGACAGTAACACTCAGCTGGAGAAGCTGGATAGAGTTAGAGGGAGACTGCAACATCTCAGCGACTTTCATATTCACAAACCTGTGGACTTTTACACTTGTTTCAAGGAGTTAGTGGAAGGGTTGAAATCCAGAGTCAAAGAATGTTAGTAATCATGGTAACAGATATTATTTTGTTTCAGTTGTAGGAACAAACAATGTAATCTTTGAGAAACTGGATTATAAACATTGTCAATGAAATTAATTGATTTTCAATGCTGGGCCACAACAAAATGAATACTTGTTCATTGGAAACACTAAAATCTTGAAACAAAATTCCATAATGATTACGATAAACATCCTTCTGGAGAACTTGCAAATGGAAAAAAATAGCTCAAATCTTTTCTTACCTTTCTTTTCTGACATTCAACTTGAATGTCTGAGGTCATGTAACAATTATTTTTAAAAACAAAATGTCTCTCTGCCAAAAAAGTATGAATGAGTTACATTTTCAATTCTAATGTCCATCTATCATTGTTTTGTTTTAGAATGGTATTTTTCTTGTTATGAATCTTTTACAATGTTTTACCATGTTAAGGGACAATATTTTATGCATCTTGTCTTGTCAGTATGATCATGTGATGCTTTTTGAAGTACCAAACACTGACACAAGAAATGAAGTGCCATGATTTCATAATGCTGATTTGTAACAAGCTATGTGTTCAATTCTTGGTATCCTGACTTTTGGTTAGACTAAATTATAAAGTTTTTAAGTGATTTCTTATGATTTTTGTGGAGAAGCATGTACAATGTGAATCACGTGCATGTACACACACGCCCGCACACACACACGCACACACACACACAAACACCTGTACCTAAAATTCATGTACAAAGTAAGTGACTCCCTGCAAGTAATGTACAAAATCAATGATGTCCCCCCTAGTACATGCGTACAAAACTGACCCCCCCTTACCTCCCCAGAACAAAATGGGTGAAAATCTCAAGGGTAATAAATTCTTCATATGGTGTTTTGATAGGGTGTACAGGACTGGTAGACCCTTGTAAATTCTGTATTTCCTTTGGGTGCGCCTCAGGAAATACGGAATTTACAAGGATCTTACGGTCCTGTACCCCCTTTCAAAACAGTGAGTAACTAACAGTGTATTATATGATATTCGGCAACCTGCATGCAACACATCCAAAGGGTAGGTTTACAGAGACTAGTATTTTGTGAAAACAATTCAATAAAGTCACAAAGACATGTACATAGAAGTAATTTGTTTTCTTCCTCATATTGTTAGGTAACCTGGTTATGTACCAGGTAGTTTATTATGTGCAGTTTGATTTGTACTTCTACATTTACATTTGAAGGGATCAGATGAAGCTTGACCTGTGATCATAATAACAGTGCAGGACACATCCATCATCAATTGTCTGTGCAGCAGCCGAAACTAATATCCTCATCAACACTAGTGGTGTGACAATTCATCGATACGCATTGATGCATCAATCCTTGGGCCGCTACAGTGAATCGATACAAAGTTTAACATTGTTGTATATCCAGATACGATACTTCAAATGGACCACGATACATCCATGTTTAACTTTGAATATTGCTGAATCACAATATCTGTCAATAAAAAAGACTTACTTTTGTTTGATGATTAAAATATATGCTTACATATTTTCCCTTCATAAGTAAACGTTTTCTCGGACATTCTTGCGTCACGAACTGGGTCAGACATAGCACTCGCATGTTAGTAACATTCACAAAGTAGGTGTATAAACTTATTTTTCTCGTTTCCTAATGAGAATTGAAAAAACGCTGCCGGAATTTGACGGAATACTTTAAAATGGTTTAGTTTTGATCTTAAGGTGTTTTATAGTTGGTATTAGAATTAAAGATTTTATTATCGTGATACATATCGTACCCTTATATCGTGATTCGTATCGTATCGCAGCTTCAGTGCACTATACTTTGGCAATATATCCTCTTAACTAAATTTTTTGTATCGTGATGTATCGTGTCGCAGGTTGTATGCCAATACCAGCACTAATCACCACATGGTCATAGAATCAGTAAGTCTGGAACCAGTAGATTACAGGACTAGTTGATCACCACATGGACAAACAACCAGTAGTTTACAGGACTAGTCGATCACCACATGGACAAACAACCAGTAGTTTACAGGAGTAGTTTATCAGGACTAGTTGATCACCACATGGACAAGTTTACAGGACTAGTTGATCAAACTGGAACCAGTAGTTTACAGGACTAGTCGATCACCACATGGACAAACAACCAGTAGTTTACAGGACTAGTCGATCACCACATGGACAAACAACCAGTAGTTTACAGGACTAGTCGATCACCACATGGACAAACAACCAGTAGTTTACAGGACTAGTTGATCACCACATGGACAAACAACCAGTAGTTGGAACAGGACTAGGATCACCAGAATGGACAAACAACCACATGATCAAACAACCAGTAGTTTACAGGACTAGTTGATCACCACATGGACAAACAACCAGTAGTTTACAGGACTAGTTGATCACCACATGGACAAACAACCAGTAGTTTACAGGACTAGTCGATCACCACATGGGAACCAGTAGTTTACAGGACTAGTTGGATCACCACAGGACTAGTGGATCACCACAACAAACAACCAGTAGTTTACAGGACTAGTTGATCACCACATGGACAAACAACCAGTAGATCTAGTTTACAGGACTAGTTGATCACCACATGGACAAACAACCAGTAGTTTACAGGACTAGTTGATCACCACATGGACAAACAACCAGTAGTTTACAGGACTAGGATCACCACATAGGACAAACAACCAGTAGATTTACAGGACTAGTTGATCACCACATGGACAAAAACCAGTACCAGTGATCACATGGACAAACAACCACCATGGATCTGGAACCAGTAGTTTACAGGACTAGTTGATCACCACATGGACAAAGAACCAGTAAATCTGGAACCAGAAGGTTACAGGGAATAGTTGATCACCACATGGACAAAAACAACCAGTAGTTTACAGGACTAGTCGATCACCACATGGACAAACAACCAGGTTACAGGACTAGTTATCACCACTGGGACAACCCAGAACCAGGTTGGAACCAGGATACAGGAATAGTTGATCACCACATGGACAAATCTGGAACCAGTAGTTTACAGGACTAGTTGATCACCCATGGACAAACAATATGGAACAAACAGGACTAGTAGATCTGGAACCAGTAGTTTACAGGACTAGTTGATCACCACATGGACAAACAACCAGTAGTTTACAGGACTAGTTGATCACCACAGTTTACAGGACTAGTTGATCACCACATGGACAAACAACCAGTAGTTTACAGGACTAGTTGATCACCACATGGACAAAGAACCAGTAGTTTACAGGACTAGTCGATCACCACATGGACAAACAACCAGTAGTTTACAGGACTAGTCGATCACCACATGGACAAACAACCAGTAGTTTACAGGACTAGTCGATCACCACATGGACAAACAACCAGTAGATCTGGAACCAGTAGGATACAGGACTAGTTGATCACCACATGGACAAACAACCAGTAGTTTACAGGACTAGTTGATCACCACATGGACAAACAACCAGTAGATCTGGAACCAGAAGGTTACAGGACTAGTTGATCACCACATGGTCAAACAACCAGTAGATCTGGAACCAGTAGTTTACAGGACTAGTCGATCACCACATGGTCAAACAACCAGTAGATCTGGAACCAGTAGTTTACAGGACTAGTTGATCACCACATGGACAAACAACCAGTAGTTTACAGGACTAGTCGATCACCACATGGACAAACAACCAGTAGTTTACAGGACTAGTCGATCACCACATGGACAAACAACCAGTAGTTTACAGGACTAGTTGATCACCACATGGACAAACAACCAGTAAATCTGGAACCAGTAGGGTACAGGACTAGTTGATCACCACATGGTCAAAGAACCAGTAAATCTGGAACCAGTAGGATACAGGACTAGTTGATCACCACATGGACAAAGAACCAGTAAATCTGGAACCAGAAGGTTACAGGACTAGTTGATCACCACATGGACAAAGAACCAGTAAATCTGGAACCAGAAGGTTACAGGAATAGTTGATCACCACATGGACAAACAACCAATAGATCTGGAACCAGAAGGTTACAGAACTAGTTGATCACCACATGGACAAAGAACCAGTAAATCTGGAACCAGAAGGTTACAGGACTAGTTGATCACCACATTGACAAACAACCAGTAGTTTACAGGACTAGTCGATTACCACATGGACAAACAACCAGTAGTTTACAGGAATAGTTGATCACCACATGGACAGAGAACCAGTAAATCTGGAACCAGTAGATTACAGGACTAGTTGATCACCACATGGACAAACAACCAATAGATCTGGAACCAGAAGGTTCCAGGACTAGTTGATCACCACATGGACAAAGAACCAGTAAATCTGGAACCAGAAGGTTACAGGAATAGTTGATCACCACATGGACAAACAACCAATAGATCTGGAACCAGAAGGTTACAGAACTAGTTGATCACCACATGGACAAAGAACCAGTAAATCTGGAACCAGAAGGTTACAGGAATAGTTGATCACCACATTGACAAACAACCAGTAGTTTACAGGACTAGTCGATTACCACATGGACAAACAACCAGTAGTTTACAGGAATAGTTGATCACCACATGGACAGAGAACCAGTAAATCTGGAACCAGTAGATTACAGGACTAGTTGATCACCACATGGACAAACAACCAATAGATCTGGAACCAGAAGGTTCCAGGACTAGTTGATCACCACATGGACAAAGAACCAGTAAATCTGGAACCAGAAGGTTACAGGAATAGTTAATCACCACATGGACAAACAACCAATAGATCTGGAACCAGAAGGTTACAGGACTAGTTGATCACCACATGGACAAACAACCAGTAGTTTACAGGACTAGTTGATCACCACATGGACAAACAACCAGTAGTTTACAGGACTAGTTGATCACCACATGGACAAACAACCAGTAGGATACAGAACTAGTCGATCACCACATGGACAAACAACCAGTAGTTTACAGGACTAGTCGATCACCACATGGACAAACAACTAGTAAATCTGGAACCAGTAGGATACAGGAATAGTTGATCACCACATGGACAAACAACCAGTAGATTACAGGACTAGTCGAACACCACATGGACAAAGAACCAGTAGATCTGGAACCAGTAGGATACAGGACTAGTTGATCACCACATGGACAAAGAACCAGTAAATCTGGAACCAGTAGGATACAAGACTAGTCGATCACCACATGGTCAAAGAATCAGTAGGTCTGGAACAAGTTGTTACAGGAATAGTTGATCACCACATGGTCAAAGAACCAGTAAATCTGGAACCAGAAGGTTACAGGACTAGTTGATCACCACATGGACAAAGAACCAGTAGATCTGGAACCAGAAGGTTACAGGAATAGTTGATCACCACATTGACAAACAACCAGTAGTTTACAGGACTAGTCGATTACCACATGGACAAACAACTAGTAAATCTGGAACCAGAAGGTTACAGGACTAGTTGATCACCACATTGACAAACAACCAGTAGTTTACAGGACTAGTTGATCACCACAGGGACAAATAACCAGTAGTTTACAGGACTAGTCGATTACCACATGGACAAACAACTAGTAAATCTGGAACCAGAAGGTTACAGGACT